TAGTTTTATTTCTTCAGACTGAATTGTGTCATATTTGAGAGATTCCGTTAATATCGTTTGAAGATGTAACATGTATAGCTATCTGACATAACTCCTGTATTTTATATAAATTCAATAATGATTATGTTTTGGTCTAAGAATAAGTTCAAAATGTTTAAGTTGAAATAAACAGTTTTCCTATCAGTCCTTAAGTGTCTTTTTGGTTTGAGAGCGATCCCATGAGCCACATCCACCATTCAAGACTAAGCATGGTATTCGAGGTTGCAAATGTCGGAAAAGCGAATCGCGGCACGAAGAAGCTACGAAGGTCCAAGAAAGAAGTTTGTTAGGATATATAATAATTGAAATGCGAGGGAGAAAGGTAAAGTTATTGTTACATACCTCCCAGAACCCGGTTGCACAGAGCAAAGCAAAAAAAATCATTATATTAAAAGTCACAACAGCCTTCCCTCGATTCCTAACTGGTTCATGAGGTAATCACAATTCTTGATTCTGGTCATCCAGAACGTGTGAATAGAAATCAGGATAACCGGGTAATCTAAAGAAAAACGTAATAAGAAAGGCTTCACGTAATGTAATATGGAACCCTAATAATAAAATATTTGTAAATTGACCCTGCCAAATAGTTGTGAGTTTGCACAGCGGACAGCAGTTTGCGTAAAGAACAGGTAAATCGACGTACCTATTTGTAATTGGGCGACTTGGCGCAATTGCTTTTTATATAATGACGTCAATAGCGCCATTAGTAAGCTGTATGTCCGGATATGGCGATTTCAATTTATCTCCAATTTAAAAATCTGAGATTAGAGAATTAAAGATTCGAAAATAGTGACCTTTTATTAACACTGATGTAATTTAAGTTCAATAGTAACTAGGCTTACCATTTGTTTTTGACACTAGATGCTAGAAGAAATGTATATACGACGAGGAAAAACAAACAACACAAGTATTTTTTCCTTATATTATTATAGGGCATAATGAGATAGCAAATGTTCACTCTTTGCCAAGCATATTTTTTCCTAAACATATCCATAAGAGATTTAACAAGACCAAACCATAATGCTCGCTAATAGGATTTGAATCTACTTAGCTATTATTAATTCAACTTTATTCGTGAAATATATATCCATATATTTATACATATTAAAAGTATTTCGGGGCTATTGAACAATCGTTTATTTTATGTGCGAAGCAGGCTGGCGGTATATAATAGCATTACCTTAATAGCATAGATAATACCTTATATTTGGAAAAAATTGGTTCAACTCATGTTAAGTGATAACCGCTACCCAAGGACATCTGCAATTCTAGTGTTGTTGCAGATTATTGCCAACTTTGTAAATAGTGGGCCGGTTGCGAAACGCAGAAGTACTTCCAATTCACGCCACTCTTCTGTGAGACCATGGTACTCCCCGCTGGGAATCCCGTGAGCTCCGCTCTAAGAGATAGTCTACGGACTGAAAGCAAAAATATCAATCAAAGTTAAATAAGTATAAACAATCACGCAGAGCGTTATTTTAAAACAAAATCTTAACTGTGTTTTAACGAGGAAAGTTCTAGAGTACCTAGAAGTAAATGTAAACTGAATGTAAACTGTGGTAGGGCCACGCAACAGTTTTCACTGTTGCACGAATGGGCAGGTCCGTCCGGGTAAGTACCACGACCTCACAGTAAATGTAAACGGCGTGAATGTAAACTGCGTTTCGTTTGGTGAGGGCCCACTTTATTTAAAGGTGGCAACGCATTTGAAACCCTACGTGTGTTGCAAATGTCCATGGGCGGCGGTTATTGCTTAACATCAGGTGAACCGCCTGCTCGTTTACCACTTTTTCACATAAAAACAAAATCTTTATTATAATATTGTTTATATATAATAATATTATAATATATATATGTATATATATATATATATATATATATATATATATATATATATATATATATATATATGTATATATATAACGTATTGCATTGTTCATTCTGGGTAAACAAAACGAATCTAAGATGACCCGGTCTAAGAGACGTGGGCTTAGATTTAATTTATGATTTGAAATGAATAATATTGGCATTATAAGAAATTGAAAATCAATAACAGTATGCTCGAAATCTTCTAAGAAAAAAATTATGAAAAAAATTTTTTGAATGCATTATCTACAGTTACGTTACCAAGGGACAAAAGCAAATGGAGGCTACAGATTATTACCCAAGGAAACAAAAACGCTCGCATTGAATTAATAGACAATCTTTTCGGAAAACTTATTAAATCATCCATAGCAAAGACGATTTATATACAACAGTGACATATCTGAGAGCGGTACTTAGCTAACGCACGCTTGAGCACATGCGCGGCTCTACCTACTGTGGAGGGCGTGGGTTATGGTTAGCCCACCGGCTCTGCGTTTTATGAAGCTTTAATAGTCTCGGGACTGAAAGCGTACAAGATACAAGAGAGCGGTAGCTAAGATAATTAATATAAGTCCTAAGATAAATTTTTAATAGTTTTAATTCTGAAAACTTCTTTTCGTCTGTTGCAGTCGTAACAGAAAGGGTCAAAAAATAGAAAGCATGATGTTCTTACCTCCGAAAAACAATGGAAGGCTATTGACTTTAATCAGTAATAATTTCATGGGTTTATTAGCAGACAGTTTTCGGCATCCCTTTTAGGGTTCCGTACCACAAGGGTAAAATAGGACCCTATTACTAAGACTCCGCAGTCTGTCTGTCAGGCTGTACCCTTGATAGTCAGACAGTTGAAATTTTCACACATGATGTATTTTTGTTGCCGCTATTACAACTGAACTTAAAACAGAAAAAAAATATTAAAATATGTAGAAAAAGTGCGAAAAGACTGTCGCCGCTGTGGGAATCGAACCCACGTCTTCGGCTTTCGCGGCCTGCCTTTTCGCACTTTTTCTACATATTTTAATGTTCAATCTTAAGTGCAATGATTAGCACTATAAATAATTTAAATTTTTCAGAAAAAAATATTTAAGTGGGGCTCCCATACAACAGACGTTTTTATAGATGACTAGCTGACCCGGCAAACGTTTTGCCTTAAAAATTATTTGTAGGGTAGAAAAAAATATTTGGAATGGACCACCCTTAACTTTTGGGGGGGGATGAAAAATAGATGTTGTCCGATTCTCCACCCTGGCCGATAAGCACACAAAATTTCACGAAAATCGGTTGAGCCGTTTCGGAGGAGTTCAATTACAAACACTGTTACACGAGAATTTTCTATATTAATTGGTACGGAACACTTTGTACGTGAGTCCGACTCGCACTTGGACTTATTATATTTTTTTCATATGTCACGTTCGTCTTTTTCTTAAGGAAATATAAATTCATTCAGTCGGTACAAAATTTTCATTATCAATAAATAATATTTCCTTACAGCTTATGGAGGGTAGAAGATAAGGAGGACCATCTCAGTGTATTAAAAAGTGTCCGTTGAAAGGGAGCAAATTAAGGTGGCGCTATAGTAGCAAGTGGAAGAATTTTAAATAGAGCGCCACAAATTATTAGAGTAGGATACTTAAAAAAGGAAAGAAACATTTCCGCTTTGTTACAGCGCAATTTTTTAAATTTTATTGTAATATATAGACAAAAATGAGTATGGAATAAAATTAAAATTATACAGTGTTTTCAAGTACCCCAATTATTTGTAAATAGCAAATAGAATATAGTATTAAAGAATTACCGAAATAAAAAAAAAAAAACAAAATTGTAATAAGCAAATTCTCAATCATTTAGAAAATCGCGTGCTGAAAAAAGGTTATAGAGGTTTCATAATTATTATCTAAATGTAGAAATCATCAAAACGGATTTAACAGGCAATCAATAAATATTTATTAGTAACAATACAATATTTTAACAGTACAATATATTAAAATATAAATGAAGAAATAAAAATTGATATTTTCACTTCACTCTGCTTATAACTGCTAAGTTCATATCATTTCCACTTGCTACACTAGCGCTATTTCGGTGAGAGTTCGTACAATAATTTGCTGTTTACAATTGGACACTTTTTCGACTAATCCCCCATACGAGACGGTCCTCCTTATCTTCTACCCTCCGTATTACAGCTATATATAAAGTGTCGTTTCATGAAGACGTTACGTTTCATTTTGTGGGACCCATTTACGTTACGCCCATTTACATTTACATTACGTTCGTTTCATTTTGTGGGACTCATTCGGTAGCAGATTTGGCCCAAAAGGTGATGGTCATACGGCAGACATGACCAGTACAGTCAAATTTAAGCTTGTCGGCTTTTTGGCCCGCATCGGAAATTCGCGTTCGGGTGCCCACGACAACGAGTAGAAGAAATGGAAGGCAGCCTTTGCCCAACAGTGGGACACAAGCGGCTGAATAAAATAAAAATAAAAAAAATTGTGTCAAGTTGTCCATATCATTAATGACATTAATCATATAGACAACTTCTGACACATATTCCGAAAGTAGTATTTGCTGAATAAGATGCATGACGTGTAAGATTATTTTTTATTTTAGACATATCCATTTGAAAGATGGATTCTGCGTAGTCTGTCCCGCTAAATTTCAAAATACTGTCGCAATGTAACGCCGAGGCCAGTAAACGTGACGTATCATCTCCATTACTATACACATCTGGAAGAAAACATCCCATCAACATTTTATCTACAAGAGAACATTATGCCATTAAGTAACTAAAAGCGCCCTTAACCCGAATGAACGGTTGAACCAGACGATTCATTATTCTAGCGTCTTATGAAAATCACACATACTTCGACGCGAACTCAGGCATCCTTAAATAAAATCGAGATAGCTGTTTTCAAACAGAACCCACAAAGAGTAAAACAGATTATAAACAGATGCGCTCTGAAGCGAATTACGTCACCTTTATTCAATGACAAATCACTTTGGTGCTAACAAAAAACAAACATGCTCCAGGCAAGGCCGTCAGCACGAGATGCGATCAGTCCGTTGTTCGGTCATGTTGTGATAGACGGTGTAAAATGTTCTCTCGCGCTCTTCTCCTCGCCGCCGCGGCGATGTTCTCTAGCGGACAGGAGCACGAGCCGTTCGCAGATATCGCCACGTCGACCAGACAGCTAGTGGACGGTATAACGAAGTTGCCGATTGTCCAGCAAGCGTCACGAGTGTCCGGCGATCTATTAACCGGGACCGCGGAAGCGCTGGCAGCGTTCCCCCTCGCCTTAGCCCGCTCTCTCACTTTATACGACGTCCCACAACTGGTAAGCGACAGCAACGTGGTCGAACTTACCGATAGGGTGATCAGCGAGTTCAACGCCGGCCTCCGCAACGAGGATATCCACATGAGCATCGGCGATCTGGTGACAAAGTACCGCTACGCTATAGAGAGGCATCAGGTTGTTACCGACGACGGTTACGTTCTAACGGTTCACAGGATCCCGAGCAACGGGTCGGTCGTACTCCTGATGCACGGCCTGCTCGGCAGCTCGGACGACTTCGTGGTCTCCGGGCCCAAGAGCGGGCTGGCCTATTTACTGGCGGACGAGGGCTACGACGTGTGGATGGGGAACGGCCGCGGCAACAAGCACTCGCGGCGGCACCTCAGCATGGACCCGTCCCAAGCGAGCTTCTGGGACTTCTCGTGGCACGAGATCGGCTGCCGTGACCTCCCGGCGACGATCGATCACATACTACGAACGACTGACGCGGAAAAGCTCCAATACGTCGGCCACTCGCAGGGGACCACCGCGTTCTTCGTGATGGCCTCTGAGCGGCCCGAGTACAACGAGAAGGTGTCACTGATGGTTGCCCTGTCGCCGGTGGCCTTTATGACGCATGCCAAAGCGCCGTTAGTCAAGCTCCTCGCGCCGGGGACACCATTGCTGCACAGCGTCTTAAGCGGCCTCGGCGTCTACGAGCTGCTGCCGGACAACGCGTCCACGAGGGTGTTGAAGAAGCTTATGTGCGGCGTGGGCCCGCTGGCAGAGATCGTCTGCAGCAACGTTATCTTCATCGTCGCCGGCCTCGATCTCGGGCAGCTGAACGTCACCAACTTACCGGTGATTTACGGTCACATGCCGTCGGGCGCATCGAGCAAACAGTTCGCCCATTACGGCCAGGGCATGCTGTCGGGTGATTTCAGGCAGTTCGACTATGGAGAAAGGAGGAACATAGAGCTGTACGGATCAAAGGTGCCGCCGGCCTATAAGCTAAGGAACGTGAAGACGCCGGTCTCTTTGTTCTATTGCCAAGCGGACTGGCTTGCAGATCCCAGGGACGTGGACAGACTGTATAAAAAGTTGGGCAACGTAATCGACACGTACAAAGTGCCTTACAACCAGTTCTCGCATTTAGACTTTGTGCTTGCCAAAGACTTTAAAACCTTAATTTATTCGAGATTACGTAAACTACTAATGTTGTATTAGTGTGTTATTTAATTTATTGTACATAATTCTATATAATGACAGCATGGTTTTTAACTAATATTATTTTAATTTTATTGGACGGTATTGCACCCTTAGAATCCAGAGTCACATCAGGGAACTCCAAATCAAATACAAAATGAAGCTATAGTGATTGAGACATTAAATTTGTAGTCAATTTTTTTTTGTTACTAAAAATAAGTTTAGTCTTACTCGTGACTTTTCAGGGTTCCGTACGCAAAGGGTAAAATGGGACTAAAGACTTCTCTGTCAGTCTGTCTGTCTGTCCGTTTGTCACCAGGCTGTATCTCATAAACCGTGATAGTTAGACAGTTAAAATATTCACAGATGTTCTGTTGCCGCTATAAAAACAAATGCTAAAAACAGAATAAAAAATATTTAAGTGGGGCTCCCATACAACAGACATGATGTTTGTTGCCGTTTTAAAAAATGTTTTTTTAAGAATGGTATGGAACCCTTCGTGCGTGAGTCCGAATCGCACTTTGCCGGTTTTTATAAATTAAGTCATGCTCGTTTATACTGTTAGTATTTATAATATAATAGGTACACTATTTGCTGTAGCTACACCTGGGTAAAGTAGTGTTTACATTTGAGTTTCACCTGGTAATTGATGTGCAAGGGGGCTCAATTCTTGATACTTTACAGGTTTCTGCTACATGTACACTGCCCTATACCTATACATAACTATAGTATTTTAGTACAGATTCATAAGATATTAATAATACTAGTTGATCCATACAACATTTTCGCAGAATTAGGTATCTTATTTTGAAGAATACTATATTCGATTAATCATTGTTTACTTAGTTAGCTTTTATTTAAACAAAATGTCAATAGATGGCGTTACCATACATAAAAATTTTAAACCAAGTTTGGCGTACCTAATGGTCAATGGCGACAAAAATAGATATTCATTTTCATTCTATCTATACCTCATGCGTTTCAAATAACCAGTAGTTATTATATTATTAGTAAATAATAACATTTGTTTAGTGCATGCTGTGTTTTCCTATTGTACTGAGCTTTCAGTATTTATTTATTCTTTGTTGGAACACCAAATTAATAAATTAAAGGTATTACCAAATACTTTGAAATCATAATTAAGCACGTCAAACGAATCGAAAATGAATACTGGCAAAGACAAACATTTCAAGATGACGATAACTTTATTTTTATTACAAACAGATTGAACATGTAATAAGATACCTATTTTCTTTGAATAACAGTTGGTAGAATATTAGTCGTATAAAATAATAGTCGGTTAATAACTCCATAAATACAGGTTCGATAAAGGAGAAAACAGCAGTGATGATAAAAATGGTGGGTACTCAAACGATAAATTTTTTTTCTTTCATGCTTTTAAAACAAAATTTATTTGTAAATAAATATTTAATCTGTTAATATAATAATATATCTGTTTTGCTCACTCTAACTAGCTTGACGTCACAAGATGGCGCGAATTCTTACTAGAATCGCATTTTGTAAAGATTGTAATGCAGTTTCTCAATTACGAACCTATCATGGTCATAGCAATAGTGATTTTTATTAATTCTATGACGCTGTGGGTTTGATTGCCACTTGGGACAAGTGTATGGTCCCACTTCATCAGTACATACTTGGCGTCTTCAAGGCAAGAGTGAATAGGTTCTTTCTGAGCTAGCGCGCTTACCATCAGGTGGGATGGCAGTCAAGTGCTGGCCAGTTCTAAATAAAAAAAAAGTAGTATAAAACAAAGTCCTCCCGCTGACTGTCTGTATATCCCTGTGTATGCTTACATTTTTAAAATTACGCAACGGGTCTTGATGCGGTTTCTTTTATTAGATACAGTGTCTAGAGGAAGTAATGTATAATAGATTGCACCCATGCGAAGCCGGGGCGGGATGCTAGTTATAAATAATCATTCATAATCCATCCATCCAATCAGCCTTTTGCAGTCCACAGCTGGACATAGGCCTCCCCAAGAGGCCTCATCATTCATAATAATCATATCATACTCAAGGCTTGATGACAGGTTGGCAGCCAGCTGCAAAAAATTATAATACTAATACCACTAAAGGATAAAAAAAAAAAAGCTATGAAGTACTTATATGAAAGCAAGTTATTTTAGTTGCTTTATCAATTTTTATTTTTATTAAACCATATGTATTATTATAGAAAATATCACATAACTTTTAAAAATATTGCATATCCTTTTAAAAACTTGGACATAAAAAGGTGTAACTGACATTATGTATAGTGCCTAACAGACATAATGAATTGTATATTAAGTAAAAATGTGTCTGCAAATATTTATTAATATATTGTGAATATACAATAATATGTCTCAAGAGGAGTCTTTAATTTTCTAATTAAGGACTGAAGTTTACAAAAGTTTAACCAAACTATTTCCAAAATAAAAAAAAATGTGTTATTAACCTTAATTTATTACTACCTTAAATCATACAATTTTATATTAATAACATGCATGAGGTGATCACATGCTTGGGACCTGGAAATAAAGTAAATTTATAACAATTAACAAAATATCTCAACAGAATTAAAAATATTGTATCTATGTTGTGCTGTGCCAGTGTAAGAAACTTATGTAGGGACATTGCCCTGTGGTAGGGCCATGCAACAGCTTCGGCTGTTGCAAGAATGGGCAGGTCTATCAGGGTAAGTACCACAATCTCACAGAGGCCCGACGTGAAATGGAAGTGACATACTTTTGCGTTTCGTCAGGTAGTGAGGTAGCCAAGCCCACTTTATTAAATGGTGGTAACACATCTGAATTACCTTACGGATGTTGCAAATGTCCATGGATGGCAGTTATCACTTAGCATCAGGCGAACTGCCAGCTTGCTTGCCACCTCCTCACATAACACAGAATTTACAAATAGGCATTTACAAATTTATTTAATAAAGAACAAAGCTGGCACACTAATACACATTCTCTCCAACACATTCTCTCCTTCAGGAGTAAGGCACCCCACACAATATTTTTTAATAAATATCAACATAACTGTTATGAATTGATGTCTTAGACACTACAAAAGGTCATTAATTTGCTTACCTTTTTATTTAGAACTATTAGCATTGATGTAATGGTACAATATAACTAGGAGGAAGATAGACACTCCTAGAATATTAGAGAAAACTGCCAGCTGGATATCCGTGATCATGATGACGTTTAAATCTGAAAATATTTAAATTAGAGAATTACATGTAATTAAAATCCTTTTTATGTTATAGCGAATTCTTCTGTCTTATTACAAAAAAAAAGGTAAGTTAGAAACCGGTTTTAATTATTTGTTACGGTTCGTATATTACAAATCTTTAAATAGTTACGATGTTTAAAATTTTACACTATTTTTAAACTTACTATTTGTAAAATTACAAAGCTCAAAGCCGCAAGATTATTTTAGTAGTATGTAAAAGAAAACGTAAATTAATACACGTCACGTACATATATCGATATTTTTAGTCGATGTTTTTGGATCCGATATATCAATACAATTACAAAATAATAAATATCGAAATCGTATCCACAACCGATATTTTATCAAATCCGAATGAGGCACAGAGTCCGTGTGTAAAATATTTAATTCTTGACCTTTTTTTTTTGAAGTTATACTTCTTTATGCACTTTATGAAAAAAATGATGAGGGTGAAATTTTTAGATGCGCGCGCAACACTGTAACACAAAAGTCATACCTTTGAAGCTGCCCGCTGAACCGCTTAATATAGATGGCAGCATATTCTCAATCATATTCGCCCGTTACAATTCCCACTAAAGAATGTAGGTAGATGCCGCTTTCATAACTTTATTATTTATATCCCTTTCCAGTTTATTATTATTTTACTGTAATTAATTATTTGCATTCAATTAAAAACTATTTTTAATGATGCCAAAGAAGTATAACTTCTCATTACACAAGCACCCATTTTTTTGGACAACGGGGCCTACATAGAAAATATCGATGTCGATGTTTTATCGATGAGAAAATATTGAATATTTTCTCATAGATAAAAATTTTACTAAATTCGCATATTGCGCCTACTATTTTGCGACATTGTATTCTTGTAACTAAATTTACGTACCTCCTTCGCTCGAGTCCAGTTTGGAAATGCGGTGACTTTTTGAACGAAATTGATTTCCATCTTAAATCAGCTCTAGAAAAAATTCTAAATTTATCTCTTAATTAATTAAGCTGGACTCAAGCTACGCTGCCAATTCGTTTTGGTAGTATCGGTGTAAGGAAAATTTCTAGTGTCGCTCTACCTGCCTTCCTTGCTTCCGTGCATAGCGTAAATAATTTATGTAATAACATCCTTAATCATGATTCAGAACTTTCTGCAGAGCAGGCAAGGATGTCTTGGCTGTCTATCTGCCCCAACGAAAATATATCACTGGAAGTAACCCTACAAAAACAGTGGGATGTTCCTTTGGTGCGGAGAGTACAGAGAGATACGTTTCAATCTTTAGAAAGTAATTTAGAGCGTGCCCGTTTCCTAGGCGTCTCATCTAAAGAATCGAGTTATTGGCTTCACGCTTTACCATCAAGTAACTGGGCACATTACTTGACGATGAAAGCTTACGCATTGCTGTAGGAATCCGTCTGGGGGCACCGATTTGTCAACCACACCAATGCCCTTGTGGTGTCAGTGTAGACCAATTTGTCTCCACGGGCTTTTTTGTCAAAAAAGTGCTGGCCGTTTTTCCCGCCACGGTTCCCTGAACGATAGCATCGGTAGGGCTCTTGTTTCCATCAATGTTCCATCTATTTTAGAGCCCTGTGGCATTTTTCGCGACGATGGTAAGAGACCCGACGGTTTGACATTGATCCCTTGGGAGAGAGGCAAAGCCCTTGTTTGGGACGCCACTTGTGTAGACACTTTGGCTGCCTCTCATCTAAGGGGTACTTCGGTCAGGGCCGGGGCGGCATCGGAGGCAGCTGAAGTAAGTAAATGGCGCAAATATGAGTCTTTATGTTTAGATTATGTATTTGTGCCATTTGCTGTTGAAACATTAGGTCCGTGAGGCCCCCACACATCAAAATTTTTTAAAAGTTTAGGTTCTTTTCTCGCTCAAAGGTTAAGCATAATTATTCAGCGAGGAAATGCAGCTAGCGTTCTTGGCACCATGCCGCGTGGATTAGGTTTATTAGATAATATGTAATTTTAGATAGATTTAATCTTGTAAATATTAGATCAATTTCCATGAAAAAAATTGAGGCAGATTCCATGAATAATCAATTTCCGAAAACAAATAATTTTTGGGAAAATTAACTACGCAATGATTAACGGAACAAGTGCGGAATATTTAATAATAATAATATCAGCCTATTGCCGTCCACTGCAGAACCACCTTTCTTAAGTCGTGAGTCCATCGTGCTGCAGGCCGTCCAGTTATAACTTAATTCACAAGCGGCCTGTTGTATACACTTTATATACCACTTTAATACACTGAGGTATTGTGTGTAGACTGCTAAACGGGGTATTCGCTCTTGAATGGTAGATGTGGCTGATGGGATCATTTTCAAGCAAAAAGACACTTAAGGACTGATAAGAAAACTGTTTATTTCAATTTAAACATTTTGAACTTATTTTAGTTAGATAGATGAACATGTTACTTCTTTAAGCAATTTTTACGGAATCAATCAACAAACATGACACAATTCAGTCTGAACAAATAAAAGTAACATTCCAAATTTAATTTAAAGTAATTCAAACATTAATACATAAATCAAATAGTATAGAGAGTATATCAAAAGAGTATGTATAATCTGAGATTACCAATCAACATTCGCAAGCGCCATTGAGTATGCTAAATCGTGTATGTGTTTTCAATGTATATATTTATTTGGCCACGGTGAAGCATCGATGAGGCAGATGTTGACCCGTTAGGGCCTCTGTCTCTTCTTCGTGGCGTTGTCAGGGGATGGTAAGAAAAAGGAACACGGTGAAGTATCGATGAGGCAGATGTTGACCCGTTAGTGCCTCTGTCACTTCTTCATTGCGTTGTCAGGGGATGGTGAGAAAAAGGAAACCTATAATAATTTAATACTTTTTGGATTGTGTCGTGCCACAAATTAAACTCTCGTCAACAGGGCTCGCGGAGGCAACGGAGTGGATTAGGCATGAGATATACCTGCAACATTCTATACCCGGCCTCAAAGGTACGGGTATCGCCGTATACCCGGTGCTAAAACCCAGTATCAAAATACCTATAGGTATTTTTTATGTTCGGCCTCCTTATGGAGACCCGGTATGGAATTGAACCTTTCTTTGGTTGGAATTGGAACATTATAGATTATGTTTTTTTAGCACATCATTTTTTTTTTTTCAATTTGAGATTTAATCAGTCTAAATTAAGCTCCATCTTTACCAACGTAAAGAACCCTATTATAAAAAAAAAGTAATTCAAAATAAATATTACTGTTTAAAATCTTGGCGTATTTGACGCAATTATTTATCTACCTATAATTGTAATAAATTAATAGAAATAAAACGCAAAGAACCCTATTAAAAAAAAAAAGTAATTCAAAATAATATTACTGAATAAATTATTTATCTCAAGGAATTATTTGGTATAAAATGCCTAAATAATACGTTTCAATTCGGGCATGATCGGAAAGAGCCGCCGTAAGCGTTCGGGGAACTTCGTACCTATTCGGCCGGCGGGTTGTCGCGAGCGTATATACCACCACCGTCGGACGAGGCGGCCATAGCCATACCTATCGGTGCGGGTATGGAACGGGCCTCTGCCGTACATACGTCATACCCGGTGTGCGGGCGGGTTGTCGCGAGCGTTATATACCGCCACCGTCGGACGAGGCGGCCATACCCAGCCATACCTATCGGGTATTGAACGGGCCTCTGCCGTACATACCCGGTGCGCGTACTGGCATGTTCATACTGGGTATTTATACCTGTTCCAGTATATACGCCTCATCCCTAGAGTGCATGTCTTGTGGCGTCGATCGTCGTACACCAGTTTCGTTGTTCTATTCGGACTACGAGGTCTGGTTCATCTACCTGCGTATCTCTTCCAATAAAGTTGCAAACGCACTGGTCTAATATAATACGCATAATAACACGCTTTACAAAAAAACTCGTTACGACAACACAGATCGTTTTTGTTCGGTAACCTCTCGTTTCGTTATGGTATATCTATATTCTATATTGTTGTGTTGATGTAATCTGTGGTCAGTGGTGGTAACTAGCAATGTCTATTGTTTTGTATTGTCAAAATTTAAGTTTTTTCACGGTAATTTTTGCTCGCGTTTGGGCGGAATTTTATTCCGCTAATTAAGTTAAAGTGCACATATAAACATTGTAAATGCACCAGCCTGTGTAATATTAAAAATGTATTTGTCGTCGATCAGCTCCCGCTTGCTCTTGTACGATACTAACTGTTGGGATTTGAAGAAATCTTACGGTTGTTATGATGGTATCTTACGGGACATATCTTGGAGCGACGACAGCAAATACATTTTACAGGTACTTAATATTTTGTTTTACTCTCTACGACATGCCCTTTAATTTTTATGTACTATTTTGCACTTACGACTATGTAATATAATTCCTCATAATGTAAATTTAGTTTAAACCTCTTCCTCAATTACAATGTCATATATAATATATTTTAAATTTGCTATTTGTACTAATATATACGCATAACATAATGCATATGCATCAAGTCCCAATTGTAACTTATTGTTACAGGTCAACTCAAAAGGTCTGTTAGATATATTGAGCCCCGCAGATTATGACATCAGAAGTTTGCAACATGTACCATTGAAGGACACTTGGTCAGCTAGTTTTCACAGAGATGGTCATAGAAATGTTGCAATTGGAACAAAAAGTGGTAATGTTTTGATATGGGATATCAAAAATAAAAATGTCACAAAAACATTTCCCACTCCTTCGCAACCATCATGTGTGAACTTTATTAGCTATAATGCTAAAAATACCAGCCTGGCTGCAACAATGCTGAGTGGTGATACTGTTATATATGGACTGGTATCTAATATTCCTGTCATGACGGTAAAGCTTTCCTGCTCTAGAAGTATTTCTGCTATGAAATTTCATCATGAGTCCCGATCGCTGCTAGGCCTTGCAACAGATGAAGGACATGTTGTTCTCAGAGATATCACAACAAACAAGGACAAAAATTATTTTGAAAATATTCATGCATCTCCGGTTAGTGACATTGCATTTTCCCTTATAAACAAGGATGTTTTATTATCAAGTGGCTATGACAAAATTATGCATGTCTATGACACAAGGATGCAAAATGTTGTTTCCACCATCAGAACATCATACACTCTCACATCTCTTGCTATCAATTTGGAAAACCAAGTAGCACTGGGGACTAAAAATGGCTATGTCCTTATTTATGATCTCCGTGATTTAACTAATCCATTCAAAATATTAAGAGGTCACGAGGAGGAGGTGCAGAAAGTGGCTTTTCAGCCAATCAGAAAGAAAACATTATCAGCTGATATTAGTCTCAGAGAGGATGTTGAAGTTAGTTCTCCTCTGAAAATACAATCCCCCATAAGAACAAGGACATCTGACGTCTTTTTTATTAATGAAACACCACCAAAGAACAATTTAGACATTTCTGGACAGGTAGATAATAAAGTAGACTCATTCCTGGTTATGATGGGTCTTGATAAATCAAATGTAGATTTTGATGATGATGTCAACAAATCTGCAGACTATGAAAGGAAGAGTGATAAACATGAAATAAGGTATCGCCAATTGGATGCCGAAAAAAACATAAGTAAAATATCAACCCCCTTAACTAGTAGAACTGTTGATAATTTAGGTTTCCCCTCACCCCTTGTAATTCCAAATGGCACAATGGATGATGGTAGGAACTCTAATGTCAATGTGTCTAACATAAAACAATCTAATGTAAATCTAAATGCAGGTAGTTTAGATTCAAAGACACTGGAAGAACTAAAAGACTTTATCAAGTTAACTTTAGCTGATGTTGCTGATGATAACAGGAATTATTTTCTTCATGTAATGATGGCTTTAACAAAACAAAAATTGTTTTTGGAAAAACAACTATCTGGCATGAATGAGCAGATACACAATTTGATCCAAAATCAAAATATGTTAGTGGAGACTAATAGAAAGCTTGCCTTGCAGATAGACCAACTAAAAGCCCAGCAAAATTTATTCTAAATTCAATTATTATCTTATGTGAATCTCATGACATTAATTATTATCCTGAATGAAGTAATAAACCGCAAAATTTTTGTATAAAATGTGATATTTATTATGTAAGCTTATTAACTGATGATATTACCATGTTTTATTAGTATTACATTCTGTAGTTAAAGTTGATGTTAAATAAAAGTAATTTTTGTATTGTTTCTTAAAAGTTGATAAAATTAATTTGCTTGTTTGTATATCATAAATTTTAATGTTAACATCTCTGCCAGAATTAGAGAGTGCCATGTTAATAAACTGATCCATTGTAATTGACAATAATGATTAACAAATATAATTCTGCAACTGTTGCCTTTCGTTTCAGTTATTATGTTTTATATGTGTATAATATACAACAGTATTTTATCTTTACTATACAAACATGCTGTTTGGAATAATATGAACATTCACAAATCCTTACAATACATATGTAGATTGATTGATATAAAACCATGCAACATCTGTATTGCTTATATCAGTGAATTTTATTGTTCTGGGAAGCTAAAATAGAATAATCACTACAAACTGATCACTTATACAAGTGGCATTCTTTTGCGGTATATTTCGAAAATATTCGAAACAGCTTCGGTAGTTACATTAATGGGCAGGCTCGTCCGGGAGAGTACCACGGCCTCGTAGAAGACCGGAGTGAAGTGAAAGTATAATACTTTCGCATTTTATATGGTGACAGGTCAAGAAGTGTGCTTCACTTTTTTAAAGGTTAACACATCTACAAGCCCTCTGGTGTTTTAGATGTTCATGGGCGGCGGCATTATCTTACAATCAATGATGTCTCCGTGGCGCAGTTGCCAAAGTCTTGGCTTCGGCTTCGGAGGGCGTAAGTTCGATTCCCACATGGCACAACTATTTGTGTGATCCACCAGACAGTTGTTTCGCATCTGGATGTTTGTCCGCGTGAAATTTATGTTCGTAAAACGTCCTTACAACACGGTAATATTATCCTAAAGTAAGGGCAATAGTTAAAAAGAAAATCCGGTGAACCACTAGCTCGCTTTAAAAAATAAACTAATTCCGAGATTCTTTTTTTAGTGTATAAAAATGTAAGTGTATTATTATTTCTTGTTTCCTAAGATTGTGGGTCCTACCCACGGAAGGGGATCATTGTCATCTTAATGAAAATGGAGAATCACCTCAACTCCCTTCATATAGAAGATATAATATGATATATGATAATAATATGATCTAGAGGAATGCAGACGCGCAGTATTACGTTTAACAGCTTTACAAACTGTAGAGATGGGTCGTATCGCTTTTTCTGAGTACCGTATCTGAATCAGATATCGATTTCAAATATCAGATTTCGAAACTATGTATTTTAATATCTAGATATTTTACGGTCCCGTATCCACCTTGAATTCCAAAAAAAAAAAAAAAAGAGTATTTAAAAAAGTTGATTCATTCTATGTACATAATTTTCCTGATATTTAAAACTTAACTTATTTACAATGATGTATGGGTTAATAATTATTTAGATTCCTCCGGGTTTAAATTCACGTTTACGAACGTAAGCTGTTTGCCTTTATTCGTCGAAAGTCTTGTTCGACGATCATTCTAGCTAAACAAAATTTAAAGACATCGTTAATACCGTAATTCGTATTTAAATGCAACAGAGATTTTTTTTCCATGCTGTTAAGATTCCAAATTACTTAACTGCGCGCTTTGTCGCCCGTTACGGCTCAAGGCTAAACAAAGCAATAGAAATATAATAATATCGTTGTAGTAATCTTTGATACCATGTTAAGATTCAAAATTACTTAACTTATTCATAATATCTGTTTAAAAATCTGATATTGTGCCTTGCTTGCCGTACTGCTCTAACTAGTGTAATATTATTTGTATCTCACGCGCTTTGTTGCTCAAAATCTGATATCGTGCATTGCTTGCCGTCCCGCTCTAACTAGTGAGTATTTATATCTCACGCGTTTTGTCGCTCGATATCTGATATCGTGCATTGCTTGCCGTCCCGCTCTAACTAGTGAGTATTTATATCTCACGCGCTTTGTCGCTCGATATCTGATATCGTGCATTGCTTTCCGTCCCGCTCTAACTTGTGAGTATTTGTATCTCACGCGCTTTGTCTCTCGAAATCTGTTTAAAAATCAGATATTGTGGTAAACGCGTATGATATCGCGATTCGTGTCGGTATAGCGGTACATCAGATTTCGGAAATATCAGATATTGTAAAATACATAGATATTGAAAGAGCCAGTAAGCGATATTCGGATATTGTACTAATATATAGTTTTCATATCTGATACGATTTGTATCGCCCACTTATAACAAACTGTATTGTCACTTGTTACTAACAAGTTGTCACTGTCTGTCACTTCTGTCAGTGTCAAATTGTCAATTTGTTATTTGTGGGGGGATTTTGTGGTGGCTAGAACCACAATTTTTGAATTATACCGATGAACAATAACATGGGAGAACTTGCAGTTACAAACTTGTTTGAGTCCCAAACAATAGCAGCCGATCACAAAGATCTTATCCACGATGTGGCTTACGATTTTTATGGCGAAAGAATGGCCACTTGCTCAAGTGATCAGTATGTAAAAGTAAGTTGATTAAAATGTGGTTCTCTTACGTTCGCTACATGTACTGGTTCAAAAACAATTACAACTATCAGGTTTAATTATCAGGTGTGGGACTCTGATGGTCGGGGTGGATGGCGTCTTACGGGAAGTTGGAAGGCACATCATGGCTCTGTGTGGAAAGTGACTTGGGCCCATCCTGAATTTGGACAAGTCTTAGCAACATGTTCATTTGATAGAACTGCAGCTATTTGGGAAGAAGTTGGTATGAATAATTAATTATTTATTTTTTCTAAACATTTAAAAAATTATATTTGATTTACTTAACTTATCAAATTGAGGGCAATAATATGCATTTTTCTTCATAGGTGATACAGCTGCTTCTGGAACAGAAAAAGGTCTTCGCACATGGGTAAAACGATCTAATCTTGTTGATTCACGAACTTCAGTCACTGATGTAAAGTTTGGTCCTAAACATTTAGGATTATTATTAGTCACATGTTCTGCAGATGGGATTATACGGTAAGAAGTATGACAATGGTCCATAAGTTTTGTATAAATAAAAAGTTTATTGACAATGGATAGTGCTTTTCCCTAAACCTCCTTTGAAAGAAGTTAATTTTTATTGAAAAATAAATCAGAAGAGACCTTTATAAATTACACCATGTAGTAGTTTAACAATGAGGTTTATTAGAATGTTAGTTTAACAATGAGGTTTCTTATGAGTTATTTAATGTTTTCAGAATTTATGAAGCTCCAGATGTAATGAATTTGGCACAGTGGACTCTACAGCATGAGATCCCTACTAAAGTATCAATTAGTTGCCTATCTTGGAATCCTACATTGTCTAGGTGAGGGTGTTGATTTTTTTTTTACCAGAGAAGTGACATAAATACTTCTAATATACCTATACTTTTTTTTTCATTAAATGTTTCACCAAACTTTGTTGGAAATAACATTTTACATTTCTAATTTGAACTTTCACCAAATCTAACCAGTTTTATCATTTTACACAAACATTTATATTATAATATAACCTGTAATTGAAAATTATTTCTAATAACTATTTGAGTAAAATTTAAACTTAAGTTTTGTTTAAAGATTGTGCAAATGTGGAAGAAATTAAATTGCAATTAAAAGTATAATATAAATGTAATCTGCTTTGTCAACAGTAACAGAGTGAACCCGCCTATGTTAGCAGTGGGTAGTGATGAGCCAAATGTCTCCAGTTCTAGTAGCAATCACGCTGACAAAGCGGGATGCAATGGAAAAGTTTTCATATATGAGTAAGTTTTTATTGTTTTTTAGTATTTGTTGTTATAGCGGCAACAGAAATAAATCATTTGTGAAAATTTCAACTGTCTAAATATATCAGTTTATGAGATACAGCCTGGTGACAGACAGACAGACAGATAGACAAACAGACAGTGGAGTCTTAGTAATAGGGTCCCGTTTTACCCTTTGGGTATGGAATCATAAAAAGCAAATTCAAAATGTTGAAATTTATTTTTATGAAGAAGGTGGTTGCATATATTAAAGGTTTGATTTTAATTGGATAAAATATGTTATAATTGACTGGACTCCAAGATTAAACTCCTAGCTCCATATCTATAAATCACTTTTAAAAAAATCAGATTTTGGATACATATTACGTCAGTTAGTTTTCATTTTCCTCAAGTGATGCAATTACGTAAAAAATATTTGTTGTTGAGAGAGATATTTGTTTATAAATATTTCTATGTAAAAATGTCTCCATGGCGCTGTTACCAAGTTTCGATTCCCACACGGGAAAACTATTTATGTAACCCACAGTTTCAAATTTGGATATTTGTCAACCTGTAATTTATGTTTGTAGAATGTCCTAATAACATATAATAAATATTTTTCATTTCAAAATGCAATAACTGAGGGGGCTAAATTTAAACTCGGGTCAGGTGCCAATGAAATTGTTAATTGTAATTTTTATTGCTGACTTATCACATGATCAGAGGTGAAGGAAATCATTAAGTGAAATCTTCTACACTTAAAAAAATATATTTGAAATCGACCAATCCACAAGGGTTCGCGGTGGACTATGCCCAGATATCCTCTGTATACAGGAATTTGCTTTGAATTGGGATATATATGTGCCGTTACTCTACTTTTTTGCTTTTATAGACTGTACTATCATACAGGTTGCATCCTTACTAATATTATAAACGCGAAAGTTTGTATGTATGGAATGGACGTTTGTTATTCTTTCACGCAAATACTACTGCATGGATTTAAAAAAAAAAACTATACAATAATATAGCTTATACATCGAAATAATACATACGTATTTTATGTATATATCTGTCTTTCTGTCTGAACGTTACACCTTCAGCCTATTCTACGCGGACGTAGTCGCGGGCAGCAATACTGGCTGTATTAGATAAAACTGTTCCGTATAAATTGTCAGGTACGCCGAGGCGTCGCGGCGCTGGACGCGCACAGACTGTATGTCGTCGGCGCAGGAGCCGGTCAACGACCTCGCCTTCGCCCCGAACCTCGGCCGCTCGTTCCACCTGCTGGCGGTCGCCACCAAGGACGTCAGGATCATTAAGATCGAGCCGTTGCCGTGAGTTTTTGGCGGGAGACCTGTTTATACGCGGTGGTGGGGCCGTGGGGACAGTTACCATTTCCGTTGGGGGAGTATTTTGCTTTTACATTTGATCCACATCGATTTGATTTACATGCGATTGATGATAATAATAAAAAAAAAATCGAAGATATGTGACGTCCGCCAATCCGCAGTGGGGCCGCGTGGTGGACTATCTCCTGATACCTGCCCTCTGTACAGAGGCCTTTTGCCCAGCAGTGGAACATGTATAGGCTGATACTTTACTACATTTGATCCGGTATGTGTCCACTGTTTTTTTTTAAGGTTGGCATCTGAAACCCGAAAGGTGTTAGATGATTACTTAACACAAGGTGTACCGCCGGTTCCATAGGCAAGTTTTGTCATAAAAGAACCGCTAAAAGTATCGGAGTTTTTGAAAACAGTGTGCCGGGGTGGAGATTTACGTAAGGCTCGTTTAGTTCACGAACTTTGTTGTGTAAGCTTTCGTTTATGGCGTGACCGCAGGGGCGGCGCCTTGTGAGGCGTGGCGAGCTGGTGACTTAACTTTTTAATTTCAGTACATTAAATAATTAAATAGTATAAAATTAAAAAAAAATAGTTCATAAAGTTGTAATTTTTTTTGTTTAGTTAAAATTATGGAACCTTTGGGAATCACGGGATATGTCTTTTAAATGATTCGGCGTCGTGGGTTCGATTCCCTCACGAGACAACTAACTGCGTGATCCACAGTAGTAACCAACTTTAGTTTTGTGCGTGTCACAATGTAGATAGATAGGTGTCTGCATTTATGCGTCGTATACTTTTGAAACGAACTTTTGTGCGTGTTAGTTATGAATGATCGCGCATAAAATAAACGAGTTGCGTATAAATCACGCACTTTTTGAGATAAGTTCAAATGGCATTGATTAATTACTTACGAGTGATTTTAAATATTTATCATTTTATATAACATTATTTATGTCTAGAATTTAATAAAAAAAATGGATACACTCAGAAAAGCCTCCCTGTATAAAACGTCCTTACAACACAGGATATATAATTATATTCTATAGGTGATTGGGTTTATTAACAGTATGAAAAAAAAAAGGTCTGTTATAAGCCTAGATCGGAAAAAAGCAGCTGTGGATATTTTTTTTATGTGAAAAGTTGCCACACGAGCAGACGGTTCACCTGATGTTAAGTGAATACCACCCGCCCATGGACATCTGCTACACCCGAGGGTTCCAGATGCGTTGACAACCTTGTGAAAATTGGGCTCCGGCTACCTCACTCACCAGACGAAACGCTAAAGTATTATACTTCCACTTTACGCCGGTCTTCTGTGAGGTCGTGGTACTTACCCGGACGAGCTTGTCCATTCGTGCAACAGCCGAACTTGCTGCGTTGCTCTACCACCGACTGAACCTTAACACCTCTTAAAAAACTTATAAAATACATATAAGTTCCACAAGATGATAGCAATACAAAAGCCAGTCCTCGCAATATAAAAGTCTACAAGGAAGCTCCTCGAGGAAGCTTCGCAAAGCGCGGCGCACTGAAACCCACCCCCACAATCCCACCACCAGCGAGAGTTCCAGCGCGCCGTCGGCCAACGGGTGCGGCGTGCGCTTCCGCACCGAGGTGGTGGCCGCCTTCGAGGACCACTACTCGTGCGTGTGGCGCGTCTCGTGGAACGTCACGGGCACGCTGCTCGCCTCCTCGGGCGACGACTGCTGCGTCAGGCTGTGGAAGAGTTAGTGGCGGGCCACGCACATTATCTACATCGCCACAACACTAAACCAGTGCTGCCCCCTAGCTCGAACAACGGGACAGGCCGAACCAGATTAGCCGGTGACGAGCCACCCACTTTATCTACATCGCACTAGGAAACCTCTGGAATCGCCGATATCAGCACTTGAATAATTTCAGTTAGCAACCTTTGCCACTAGTGGTAGTGACGGCAGCCTGTTAAGGCACTTTAGATTTATTACCACCTCGTTTTATCATAAACACACTACATCCTCCACCAACATTATACATTGTCCTCCGACACGAACGCAATTAACTACCACTACCTCGTTTTATCATAAACACACAATCTACCATATCCTCCATCAACACTATAAATAATTATCCTCCGTCCTGAACATACTCCGTCCATATTACCATTTATAGCTACCTCATGCTAGCGCTATTACATCCGATTAAACTCTTTCATTTTGTCTCGTATGCTTATCTGTGTTTTAAGTGAATCTCTTAGTCTCAGTTCACATAGGATATTTTTAATATGTGCGAACGCCGTCAGATTTGATTTATATACAAAATATGTGTTTTCATTAAAACAAAAGCAAAATCGGCATTTAATATTATAATCATGGGCATTCATACGAAAACACGCTATTTTCTTATAGAACTCTCCCTGAAGGAGATTGTTCATTGATTACACGAGGGTTAACCAAGGAGGGAAGAGTAGGGAAAAGTCTCTCCAAACCTCAACCAGTGCGTGTCATTAAAATTTTCCCAGGCATTAAATCTTATTCACGGTCCCTAATGATCTTGCAGAAAATAACATACGATGAACGGATCAACTATAAATAGCATATAACTCTGCTAAAGAATGAAGTTAAATAGTAAACACTTCGCGTTTCCAGTGCAATACCTGAACCAGTGGAAGTGCGTGGCGGTGTTCAAGAACGAGCCGCAGCCGGGCGACTCGCCGCCGCTGGGCCGCCCGCACACCACCTACACGCGCCTCGCCGCCATGGCCAACCCGGCGCACATGCCGCACCACTGACCCGACCACCCACGTGAGTCGCGCCCCTCACCCGCACACGCAACACCCTGCATCCACGCAACCACAAGCACCTGCATGCGCAAACCCCCAGCACCCACAAGCCCCCGTATACACTAGCCCCCGTATCCACTAGCGCCCGTATTCACAAGCCCCTGCATACGCAAACGCCCAGCACCCACTAACCCCTGCATGCGCAAACCCCCAGCACCCACGAGCCCCCGTATCCACTAGCGCCCGTATTCACAAGCCCCTGCATACGCAAACGCCCAGCACCCACAACCCCTGCATACGCAAACCCCCAGCAACCACAAGCCCCCGTATCCATTAGCGCCCGTATTCACAAGCCCCTGCATACGCAAACGCCCAGCACCCACAACCCCTGCATACGCAAACCCCCAGCAACCACAAGCCCCCGTATCCATTAGCGCCCGTATTCACAAGCCCCTGCATACGCAAACGCCCAGCACCCACAACCCCTGCATACACAAACCCCCAGCACCCACAAGCCCCCGTATCCACAAGCCCCCGCATGCGCAAACCCCCAGCACCCACAAGCCCCCGTATCCACAAGCCCCCGCATGCGCAAACCCCCAGCACCCACAAGCCCCCGTATCCACAAGCCCCCGCATGCGCAAACCCCCAGCACCCACAAGCCCCTGCATACGCAAACCCCCAGCACCCACAAGCCCCCGTATCCACAAGCCCCCGCATGCGCAAACCCCCAGCACCCACAAGCCCCCGTATCCACTAGCCCCCGCATACACAAGCCCCTGCATGCGCAAACCCCCAGCACCCACAAGCCCCCACCCATTATCCGCACGCCCTCGATCAGAAAATTCCCTCGGGTCCCCAACACACTCCCGGTCTCTTATGCTCCCATTCCCGCTACGTCGCATGTGTGCACTACTTTTGCCCGTTATACTACTTCTTGACATCTTTATGTCCCGACTGTAGCCATAAGCATAACTCCGCATTCACCGTTTTTACGATCCTTTTCTTTACAGCCCTCCTTGTCTACAGAACCCTCCCGAACCCCTCTACTTAACGTCTTAATGTATCATGATGTACCAGCACAAATGCTTGGAATTCGAATCAGTCTCCTGTTGAATTAAAAAATCGGCTGCAAAATATACATGTACCTTACTTATTATTTCTTTATATTGCATTTTATATAGTATTATTTTTTTTTTGTAACTAAACTAGCCGTTTTTGTATATTCATATATAGATTTCGTGTATCTCGGAAACGGCTCGAACGATTTGGCTCAAATTCCTGAAAAAATTATAATCTGCCATAAAATAAAACGCCTTCATACGAAAACCACCTGTATTCAGCCGGTACAGTAAATTACAAAAGCAAAAAAGGGAAAACATTAATATAATTCGCTTAAAATACTCATGATACACGAGGTGGCTCTGTATAGGAATTTTCTCACAAAGAAAAAAATGCTTAAAAAATATGATAGTCGAAAATGCAGTCATATGCCTTGTGACGGGCCGCCTCAAGCTCACTTCATTGGGGCCGTTCTCCTAATCCGCGTGTGGATAGCCTCCCTGCCCGATTGGCCCCCGTTGGAAAACCAGCCCACCTGGAATAGGAAAAAAAAATAACTGACGCCATAATCATACAGTGATAATGAAATAGTTCTCCCTTCAATATACGCATGTCTGCCAATCCGCAGTGATTCATGTGGTAGACTTGGCCCTAATAATGTACAGAGTCTTTTGCCCGGCAGTATGACAAATATACGGCTGTTACTTTACTTCACTTTTACTTTAAACCCTTGCTACTTAAAATAGGCTTGGTTTACTTATTTTTTTATATTTATAGAAGTTTGTTCACGCATGACAGCATTACGTAACATTTAGTTCAGTTCTTCATAAATGCCGGTCGTTGAAGTTTGCACTTAAAAAATCTAGAACTCCACGAATTCTATCCTATGCGATCTTCAGATGGTATCCCTGACGGAGTAACAAGACTATCACACTGAATGCTTTGATATAATAATGTTTTAGTTAACATTTTTTTGGTCCTTTCCGGGTTTTTTTGAACATCACAAGGGTGGTCGCTAATCATAAAGGTCAATTCAAGTTTTATGGGTTATCCCAGTGGACACTTACCGGCATTGCTCTCTCACTTTTACAGTGGCTCTTGGTAGAAGAGTGCGGGCTTATGATGTTGCTGAAATCAAGATAAATAAATATAAATAAGTAAATATATGATCTCGTACCAAGTGTTAACGATTCCGTCGGCTCTGCCGCCATATTGTTTCGGTTAAATTTATTGTTCGATTAAAAGGTTCTACGCAAAAATAGTTTTGAACACTTGTGACTCAGAATGTGTTTTTATTAATATTCTGCCGCCTTGTCCAACTCGCTTTCGCCCCAATTTGTTTCGTCAATCTGTTATACCGTACCCGTACATGGTACGTCCCATAGGAATAGACAATATCGAGTTTCTCTCTAGGTCGTTTCTTTCACCTTTGTGTTCAAACTTTATTAATTCTAATCCATATCTAGACATGTACATTGCAAATAGTAGGTATAACTGTTTAGTGCATGCCACCCCTTTTCTACAACTAATCGTGAAATTTGTTCACTCACTGACGAGAAGCATAATGAATAAACTGAAACTCACCCTAGCGAAGCTCTCTTTATGCCAGTTGCGGCAGTTTGTATGAGGAGGCGAGCTGGTGGTGTTGGCACCGCACCACTTGCCCGCCAGCTGCAACGCGGAGTTCAGTTAGAGTCCTGCTCGGTTCAATACTCATATTCTTCACGGTCGATCATCGCCAGTTGGCAAAGTATTAAATCCTCTAAACTGGACATCAAAACCCTCGGTTGGATGATATAGATTTTACAACACCGATGTGATCTTAATCCGTGGCGCAATTGCCAAGGCTTCAGACAAATATTTTTGTGTCTCACGGATAATTGTTTCGGATGCGGGTGTTTGTCCACGTGCAAATTATATATGTATGTAAAACGTCCTTACAATACAGGATGATACTATCCCATTGTAAGGAAATTTGGTAAAGGCCATAGACCCGCGTTAGCGTTTCTGTACCTCTGACACTATAGTCTCTTACCCAGTTTCGTAGCACTAATCACGTGTCGCTGTAGACATGTGCTTTGAGTACGTCGCGAATCTAACAACTCGATTGTCGAGTTAGTTCTGTTTTTGATAGAAGATACGGTGACGATTTACAGGCACGTTTTATGAAACGTGCCATACAAAGAGTGACGTACTCACCTCGGCAGTCCGTCTCCTGCCCGCCTGTAGAAGTCGGACCTCTTGTGCTCCACGTGACAGCTGCCGAGGCGCAGGTTGCGATCTTCTTGCCCGTTCAGCCTCCTCAAGATGGCGCCGCAGGCGAAGCGCCTAGGGTCGCGTCTCGCCTCGTCCACGTCCGCGCTCGAATGCTCCTCGATGCTCGGCAGCCGAGGGTTGGCGGCGCAGTCGCCGCCGTCGTAGGCCGCTATCGACTTCCTCGAAACGCACCGGTGCAGCGGCGCAGCGCTTATTAGCGCGGCATCGAGCGCTTGACCCTTCGTCGCGTCCCTCGCTCGGTCGGCGGTCTTTTCGCTGGGTCTTTGCCTGACAGCGTCTTGGGTGGGATGTTTCAAACGGTCGGCGATCTTCTCGTTCGGTCTTTGCTTAGCGTCCTGGGCGGGGTCGATGTGCCCGTGGGTTTGACGGACCCGTTGGGCCGCGGTGCGGGGTCCACGTCTGGCGGTTTGGGGGGCAGGGGTGCCCTCCTCATCGGGCTGTTAGACCCCCGCGGCGGCGAGAGGGGCATGAACCTTCTGTTGCCGGTCGAGGCCTCCAGCTCGCTGCGGGCCCTGTACCCGGGCGGGGACGGCGGCCTGGCCTCCGCCGTGTTCGTCGACCACAGCATGTCCGCACCGGCGACGGCGTTCATCTGGTGCAAGTGCGTCTTTATGTTGTACATCCCCGCCACGGGGCCGAAGGGGTCGGCCTTGATCTCCGAGATGACGTCCACTCGCGTCTGGCCACAGAGCTCGGCCACCTGGTTGCATATCTGAAAGCACCATCGATTGTGTTTCAGTATCCACTCGTCTACTCCGTTGGGATTAAAAGACGTGTTATGGTAAAAAATTGTTTGAAAATAATATAAATAAACGATTTTATCTATTTTTGAAACCTAAGCCCGAAATAAGCAGTCGTGGAGTCGGCTTATTTGTGAATTGGGTTTGAAAACTGGAAATCGGTGCAAAAAACTACCGTAATGAGTCATGATTTCTCCATGTAATATACGTTTTCTTTGGGTAAAAATAAATTTGAAACTTCACCTCTCTGTTTATTTTGGCTTCGGGAGCTGTGAGTGGATGGGTCTTCATTCTCATACCAGGCTTCCGGATCCACCGGTGCCTGGCGGCTTCCTCTATCTTCATCCTCAGCTCCACGTTGGGCTCAAGCAGGTGTTGGATAAACGTCTTACACTCTGCAAACGTCCAAAATTTTTTGTATTTGAGCTTTTTTACGTCTGATTGGGGGAAGTTATTCAACAGGATGTTTTAAAGGACTATGGTATAAGTGGAAAGTATGTAGTTTGACACTTAGCTTAAGAAAAATAGAAATAATCAATAATCGAGTAAGACCTAAATTTATTTTAAATTTATTTATTTAGTATTCAGTATGTTATTTACCTCAAAAGTGCTTATTACTTTGTAAAAAAAAATGGTAATTTGAATAAAGATTATTGTTATTCTTAAATTGGGGTCATCAGAGCTTACAATTTGTTCTCAACGCTGAAATCACTAACTGGTACGTAATCTGTTTCAGATAGCGGTGTCCACGAGTAGGAGTTGTACCATATTGTGTTCTGTGAACTTGTAACAGTGCCCTTGCTGAGGTGTCGATGGACAGAAGTGTTAAACGTTTAATAATTATAAGTGATACCTAATCTATGTAATGCACGAGATAATGTTTTTGATAAAAGCGATTTTATAACCTGCTAGCCTTTTTACTTAAATTCTGTACCTAAGAGGTAAACAGCATTATGTGACAAAACATAGTTTACAGGTGACGCAAAAATGCGTGAGTGAATCCTTGAATGCATTATTGATTGCATGTCATATATGTTGGGATATTTTATTAATTAGGCGTGGTACGACTTAATGCTTTATACTATTGTGTAGAATAAGTTCTTGCTATTTAATGGTGTAAGAAAAATAATTGAGAAAATTGTGGAGTTACTAATGTATGCTTCTGAGGTACAGAATTATATCCATCCTATAAGAACAAAGTTCAGAACAATTTAGGCCGCCAATTAAAAAGGGCCCCGATTAGCTCACTAACCAAATGAAACGTGAAAGAGCCTTAATAGCAGCAGCTGTTGTGTGGCCCAACCACAGCAACGATTAATAACAATAAAACGGGTAACTTGCTTACGAAAACAAAAAGGCTCACACACATGGCCATTGCACCTAACGAAAGGCTTTCCATGGTAGATTAAAATTTGTAGAAAAACGTACAAAAAGTTTTTCGATGCTGTGGGAATCGAACCCACGTCTTCGGGTTCCACGCCCTGACGCTTTATCCATTAAGCGAAAGGGCTGATTGCCACACCGACGAAAATCTTAATGTCTATTTATCTACATTGTTTTTTTTAGCATTTGAAGCAATTTCCACGGCAGACTAATTTTCCTATATTGATAACCTTATCATCATCATCATCATAAATTCAGCCTGTTCGAGTCCACTTCTGACCATGACTTCACTAACAGACTGCCATAAAGCACGATCCTGAACCAGCCGCCGTCGACTTTACAATAATATTATTATTTACTTTCGCTTAAAGTTCGGTTTAATCCATACAATTCTAGCTTATGGTCGTCTGTTATAGTTCGTGTGGTCACTTAAGCAAATAAATGGAACCTTAATGTTAAAATCGAATCTAAGCGAGCAACAGAGTTAACCGCGGCTCCATTACCATATCTCTCACGGAGCTTTTTGTATTTGAAAGGTGCCCATTGACAATTGTTCACTTGTTCAGTAACGAATGTATTTAATAAAGGCAAATTAACCATATCTCAATAGATATAAAGATTTACTTTAAAATGAACCGATCTATATATTTACTCCTCAACAGAGATATATGTTTTCTCTCGCTCACTAGCAAGCCACACGAGCTACTCTAGTAATTCCTCATATAGTTCTGGTTTAGGCATGAAACATTTCAGCTATTATATCTTTCCTATCACCCACTCGCGAGCTACACAACTCTATTTGGCAACGACTAAACAGGCACAGGTCGGTATAGCTGCCTAAATATACCGACGTATGTCTTCTTAGCCACAAACCGCTGGAGACGCAGGCCAGAGCGGTGCGCTGCTTGCGCGTGAAGCCTCTCGCGATGGCCGCCCTCAGCTGCGGCCGCGACTGGCCCTCCTTCACGCCGGCGTCCGTGAACGGCAGACTGCCAGTCACCATTCCGTACACGATGACGCCGCTGCCGGGTTTAAAGGGCAAACTGGCAAACCGGCTGCCGTCTCGCTCGCACTCGTAAAGTGATAGCGCCAGCAGCGTTATACTCCTCCAAGAGCTTGGCAAACGAACACGATGGTGAGAGAGAGGTCATCGTGAAAGTCTGTGCTACAGGACACGAGGCAGTTCCAGCAATAGCCCATTTGTCAAAATATTCCGGGACATATTTTTACACAACGTTATCTGGTCCCAAACTAAGCAAAGCTTGTACTATGGATACTAGGTAACTGATACACTGTTGATAAATGTTCATCACACAATATTTTTTCAGTATTGGGGATCGAACCCACACCCTCAGGTCCAAGAGACAGGGTCACAGGTAGACGATCAAACATAACCCTTCGCCGTAGTCGGTTAAAACGTAATAATAATACGCCGAGGTTCAGGCTAGGCGCCCCGTGCGCCAGGCCATCTCAAGCCCGTCGGAACTATAAAGACCGCTTAGGCCAACAGTGGCTCATCCAGCCCAAAAAAAAATCAGTCAAAAGAAATGCTGTGCCCAGTGACACTTACTTAGTCGAGTTTCTCTATTCAGGAGAATGTTGGGGCTACGCTAAGTAAAGCTGTACGTAAGAAGGGATCGGAAAAATAGGGATGATTGTGTTGCCATTTCATACTAATTTTTTTAATTAAATTAGCCGTTAGAGCTCGATCTGGCACTCTGTATCAGTATGCTTGAGCAATTCTCATTGCAGTTTCGGTATCAATGAAATTGCGAATTTAAGTGCCAAGAGAGTAAACTAATTACCAAGAGCTTGGTAATACGTGTATTTTAAGTCCGCCAACCATGGCTGCATGGCGAGCCTAACAATAATGCCCCCTGTACAGTGAAGACATCAGCCGAACTGCGGGATGTAGTCTGACACTCGTTAAATTACTTTTATTACTGAAATTACTGAAAGCATTATTTTAGATTCCAAGCAGCGATAAACAAGGCCAATTAATTTCAGTTCTACAGGCTATGACCAATTAATTTCAGTTTAAGCTTCTACATATTACAAACACTTCTGGCACTCCCATTCTCACAGTTACAACCGACATTTTTGATCGTTCGGTCAGCATTGTTACCAAGCGATTTGGTTCGATTTCAGCATGATTTCTATCACTTTCTTGTGATTGTTTCGAACATTCCCCTTCACATATAATGTCTGCGTAGCATGCTATGTAGTCGGGGCTAAGAATAATAAAAAGACCAAAAGAAAATGCCGCCAGTGTCATATACTGTCACGCAGATGTATTATCGTTGTACTGACATGCTCCACAAGTCCACTTCGGGCCCGTAGCGGCGTCCGTCAACAAACAACTCCGGCGCCGCGTACTCCAGCGAGCCGCACGGCGTGCGAAGCGCTCCACTGACATTCCACACGTTCGACAATCCGAAGTCTAAGAACGGACAGAAATCACAATTTCACATCTAAAAATTTGGTGTCACTCTTTTTTTTACTTTCATTACATTCTTAAAGAGATACTCGTCGGCAATAAGTAGTTTTAAGAGGTTCACAGTCATATCCCGTTATTTCAAGCAATTCTGTCCAGTTATTTCAAGTAATAACGGGACAGAATTGCTTTGTGGGTCACAAACAAATATTTGTTTTTAAATAATCAACCATGCCTAAAACCCCTAACTGAAGTGAGGATATACCTGTATATGATACGCCCTAGCTAAAGGGTAGATTAATTTAAGAGTTGTATTTATGTATTAACATGCAACATAAGATTCAAACATATGTGCCACTTTTATGATGGGATTGGAATGACTATTTGAATATAGGATATTTACCATGACTTCAAAGTGAACCTAATAAGTAGTGAATCTAATTACGGAGCACACTAATGTTTGTCCCGTGTCGAGACACCACCTACAGCGTGTTATGGCAGTATTAGTACAAGCTTTGGAAATGCATTTTGAAATCAACAAAAAAGGGATATGAACTCACCAACGATTTTGATAAACTGTTTCGTGCTGTCTAACATGATGTTTTCCATTTTGAGATCACTGAAAATAAACGGAAGAGTACATTAACGTCAAGTCTTAAATTATTGAATTACATACTACCAACACTTTAAAAAAATAGGGCGATAGTAGTCTAACGGGTGGGATTTCTGTTTTTGGTATGTCCATATCGCGTGACGCTACTGTTAGTTATTTGTACGTGGATTGCAATCCAAAAAAAAGTGTTTTGTCAAACGAAAGTTGTTGTTTTTGTCAAAAGAAATGTTTCCTTTTCACGGCGCAACGAATTAGACTAAAGTTGAGAATGGTGGTATATTATTTTTGAAGTGAAACTTCTTTATTAGGGGTTGGAAAAAAATTTTGTGTTACGCGCCATCTTTTTCTTATCTTAAAATGTTCCTCTAACGCCATCTAGTGTTCAATAGGGGGTTTTATGTCGTCTTTATTCTTTAGTGGTTTTAATAGTTGACGCTAGATGGCGTTAGTTCCTTTTATGTGTTCATAGCAATATATATATATATGTTATATTAAAGTGATCAGCAAAATCAAAGGGTTTATTTTAATTCTTATTCTAAAATGTAAACAATATATTTCGTATTTCAGTTACCATAAGCCATTAATAACACAAATATATAATAACGACATCAATGATAGTAATAATTCTATTACAATTAATGAAATTCACACGACACTGTAGAGACTTCCTCTTCTCCAAAGGCAGGCCCCGCCTACCGTGACCTGACTGCGCCTTCCACCGAAGACACAATCTGAAGCTGACCGATGATGCTCTTCGAAGCCTCGATCGGCTTTTGGAACTTGCGGTTGCGACGTCGATCCAACGTCCGCAAGTTCGGTTTTCCAAAAAAACTTCACTCACAACACTCGCGCGCGAGTCGAATGTCTGCCTTCTACTCACTGGCTGACTATTCGGCAACGAAGGACCATGTACAAATTCAAAGCGGTTGTATTTTGGGTCCGTGAGGCTAATGGAAATAAAAAAGGTTCACGTTGCAAGTTTTTTAATCAACTTCTTTTTTTTTTTTTGGGCGCTTTGGCGGGCGCTCCATGGAGTGATCGGGCTCAAGGGTCCCCGAGAGGGGGGACCTCGGCTTGGGCTGTCACTCAGCACGCGTTTAGCATTCCGATTCGAGGGTGCCCGAGAGGGCCGGACCTCGGCTCGATCGGTAACTATTATCTGACTGGGTTTTTAATCAACAATTTTTGCGGACCCTCATACTAATTACAACGGTCAAACCATAGTGTGTTTTAATTTACTACTAACGCCACCTATGTATTACAAATAAGAAACTAAATATTATACAAAGCTAAAATGAAATAATTGTAGAATTTGTATTTATGTCTATGATAATAAAAGCCTTTTGTTAAACTTTATCTAATTTAACGTTATTTAACCAATTTCTGTAAAGTTGCATATAGTAAATTATTTTTTGAAAAATAACGTCATAAAAAAGTTTCACTTCTTACGAGTGTACGCTAGTACACGCACACATTTTTTTTTGTAATGTTTGTCATTGTCTAACGCATCTGAAACCGTATAGGCTTTGCAAATGTCCATGTGCGGCGGTTATCACTTAACATCAGGTGAACCGCCAGTCGCTGGGCACATCCTAACTTAAGCAAATGTACAGAATAATAGTATTATTGAATTATTGTGAGGCCCCAAGGCCAATAGGCGCATAGGAAACTAATTTCATAGTTTCATTCTTCCATAGTTTTGCGTGAAAAAGAAAACTCATCCCGTCTAATAACAGATGTTTCTTTTTAAAGTAGCACTAGGTTAGTAGCCAGAGGCCAATTATGAGTATAGCCCACCGGTGTACCACACCCCTGGCATGCATGTGTCTCACGGCGGACACAAGCTGCGCCGCCAGAGCTCTCGCCCTCCCTTCGGCCAGGCCCCGAGTAGTCCCTCGCGATGAAAGCACATAAGCGCAAAGATCTCCTCCACCCGCCGCCTCCATCACTACATACAGCCGGGGCCCGTGCTGGGGACAACCGATGGCAGCTGTTTCATTTTATTACACCCTACTACGTAGACGAGTACAAGTACAGTATTTATATACATATGTTTATGGACAGCCTTACATCTCACGATCAAACTCTTTTTTATTTTTAACTCTTTTCGTTTGCTCATTTATAGATAAATATTTCACATGGTGGACTAGTGTAACTAGACGTAGACGTGTAGTTTAACGACGATGTCACTTTTACTCGTTCCATCTTTCTAAGGTTTGAGACTATCTGAATCTATAATAGGGACTTGAAAACTAGTCCTAAGTATCTTTTGAGGCCTTTTGGTATCTTGTTACTTGCAATATATTTGGATTTATGCACGTTCATCAAGTCCTCAGTTAACCGCTTGTTATTCATTAAGTAACTACTTTGTAACTTTCAGCAATGAGAATTTAATTACCATCATAGTCTCATATAACGCGGCGATACAAGGATGTCGTAGTTTCGCCATCACTTTCGGCTCCCGATGTAAATTTCGGCGGGCGTACTCCTCTTTTATACAGGTTAGATCGATTATTTTAATGGCTACCTGAAAAATTATTGTACTAACATTTCTTGCAAAGCAAAATTTTTGGTAAAATTTCCTATACCATTTGTAGTTCGCAAGTATGGTGACACAACACAGGTTCAAATGAATATCCATATTAAGGGCTGAAATTATTATAAATATAATGATGTTAAATAAAACTTTCCGGGACTTTCCGTGGCCATGGAAACTCGCCATTGTTTGCAATGTCGGGAATTAAATATAAATGCAATAAAATCCGTAACAAATTTATTTAACAATGTGTAATATTAACGTTAAATGTTATAGTATAATTTTATTTTCAAGAAATTCAATTTGTTATACTAGCATCTTGAGCTTTAAGTATGAACAACCAAGAAAGAAATACATGAAAGTTCTTTTTTGGTGCTGCCATATAAACTAATGTCATAAAAGTTGTTATATTAATTATTGTAAAAGATTTGAAATAAATACCTTTTTTCCTATTATTCTATGCGTTGCCTCTTCAACTCTTGCAAAGTGTCCTTTCCCTAATACTTTACCAGTCATTAGGTAATTACCAACACTGTACACTTGTCCCTTCCGTGTTATGTTTGCCATCTTCATGTTTATTTTACTAAAGATTTGGAAGCATTGTGCGTTCGTTAATATTTAAACGCAAGTGCATCCGGAAAATTCAAAACTATTCTTTCTTACACTAATATTAGATAGATTGATGCGCTTTGTAAAAGTCATAGTAGAATGTCACTATCGTTTGTTTGTTGATTGAAATTGGAACGGCGTTTTTGGCGGCTCTGACATTTTGATGTCCTATTTTTAACGGCCTGTGATCGCCAGCAAATAGTCGCTAAGATGTTTAACATTTTGTTCATTTCGTTGATGCACAAATATTTCGTTCATGGGGCAAAGTGTGCGCATGTATAATAAAATCCCACAGTTGATAATAAGTCTGCCACTAATATGTCATAAAACTAATGGTTAAAACATTGCGGAATATCTCAACGACGCCAATGTGTGGCTAAAAGTAGGCTAAAATAAGACTATTATACCTGTACCATATTATATTATAAACAAATAGTTTAAAAAAATATAATTATATATATATTGGCGCACGGGTATCGTAAGTAATTAGACGATCTTCTTTCGATCCGGATTAGACAGCTCTGACGTCAGCAGTAGAAGTGGGCGATACAAATCGTATCAGATATGAAAACTAGATATTAGTACAATATCCCAATATCGCTTACTGGCTCGTTCAATATCTATGTATTTTACAATATCTGATATTTCCGAAATCTGATGTACCGTGCTCGCTCGGTATACCGACACGAATCGCGATACGGCGATATCATACGCGTTTGCCACAATATCTGATTTTTAAACAGATTTCGAGAGACAAAGCGCGTGAGATACAAATACTCACTAGTTAGAGCGGGACGGCAAGCAATGCACGATATCAGATATCGAGCGACAAAGCGCGTGAGATATAAATACTTACTAGTTAGAGTGGGACGGTAAGCAATGCACGATATCAGATATCGAGCGACAAAGCGCGTGAGATATAAATACTTACTAGTTAGAGTGGGACGGCAAGCAATGCACGATATCAGATATCGAGCGACAAAGCGCGTGAGATATAAACACTTACTAGTTAGAGTGGGACGGCAAGCAATGCACGATATCAGATATCGAGCGACAAAGCGCGTGAGATATAAATACTTACTAGTTAGAGTGGGACGGCAAGCAATGCACGATATCAGATATCGAGCGACAAAGCGCGTGAGATATAAACACTTACTAGTTAGAGTGGGACGGCAAGCAATGCACGATATCAGATATCGAGCGACAAAGCGCGTGAGATATAAACACTTACTAGTTAGAGTGGGACGGCAAGCAATGCACGATATCAGATATCGAGCGACAAAGCGCGTGAGATATAAATACTTACTAGTTAGAGTGGGACGGCAAGCAATGCACGATATCAGATATCGAGCGACAAAGCGCGTGAGATATAAATACTTACTAGTTAGAGTGGGACGGCAAGCAATGCACGATATCAGATATCGAGCGATAAAGCGCGTGAGATAAAAACACTTACTAGTTAGAGTGGGACGGCAACCAATGCACGATATCAGATTTTTAAACAGATATTATGAATAAGTTAAGTAATTTTGAATCTTAACACCATGCAAATAAGATCCGTTTCATTTAAATACTAATCTTGGTATCAGCGATTACTACAAACGATATTATTATATTTTTATTGTTTTGTTTAGCCTTGAGCCGTAACGGGCGACAAAGCGCGCAGTTAAGTAATTTTGAATCTTAACAGCATGGAAAAAAACTCTGTTGCATTTAAATACGAATTACGGTTATTAACGATGTCTTTGAAATTTTGTTCAGCCTTGAGCTGGATTGCATTGGTACTTAACACGTAATAGTAAGGGATGCCAACTTACTACTTAAGAATTTTCTGCCTAAATTAAGGAAGAAAAATATACAATGGAAATTTTTTAGAGGTAAATTTTTTGTGAATATTTTTATTAGCTAAATTTTATTCATATTTTTGGAAAAAAATAAAAGTACACGAAAAGAAAAATATAATTTAATAGTGCTGTGCTGCTTTGGTGGAAATCAGACCAAGGCTTATGTGCCTTGTGTGTATATTTTAAATTCTTCCGCCCTAAGCTATAATACTGAATGTATTATTTCTTACACAAATAATAAAAATATTGCCACTCGATTGCGTGTTCTAAAAATATGTTAAAGTCAATTATTAAGCGGTATATAAGATGTTAAAATAAATCATTTTTATATTACTTCAATTTATATTTTTAATGAAATATTTAATTGAATTATCGAACAAGACTTTCGACGAATAAAGTCAGAGAGCTTACGTTCCTAAACGTGAATTTGAACCCGGAGGGATATAAATAATTATTAACCCTGACATAATTGTAAATATATAATGTTAAGTTTTAAATATAAGGAAAATTATGTACATAGAATGAATCAACTTTTAAATACGCCTGCACAATTTTATATTTATAATAAGTATGAAATATTGCAGCCAGTCCTAAGCCTGGAAAAAGTATGAAGGGAAGTTATTTCACTCATCTTATATCCACTCCCTTAAAGTACACAATTTTGTTTTTTTTTTTTTTTAGAATTCAATGAATGAACGTGGATAGGGAACCGTAAAATATCTAGATATTAAAATACATAGTTTCGAAATCTGATATTTGAAATCGATATCGGATTCAGATACGGTACTCAGAAAAAGCGATACGACCCATCCCTAGTCAGCAGTCGTGGGGGTGAATCCCCCACCGTTTCACTTTGGTATAAAACACCTCCCTCGGCGGCAGTGTGACCATTTGTGGCAGATTTCTGTCATTTGGGCAGATTTCGCACCTTAAATTTAGATGTGGCAGATTAGGCTGACGATTTAAAAAAGTGGCAGATTTCAAGGAAATCTTCATTATTTTTGAATTACATTTGTACATATAAATTAATATTAATATATAGAATGCTTATAATATTCTGTGTCGTATTATTTACTTTTTTAATATTTGGTAGCAAATTATTTTTTGAAGTTACAATTTTCATCCCACGTTATATAGTACGGGAATTCCCCGATTATTGTATTTTAATGTAGATAAGTCTTATGATTATGAACGGTAGATTGGCAGATTTGCCATTTTTGAAATGGTCACCCTGCTTGGCGGTCGACCGGGCATTAATTGTGTGACTGTAGTAGTGTTTGTGTAGTAGTGTTTTTTCAGTTCTTGTTATTTGCTATTATTAATTAATTGGTTTGTACCGCAGTTGTTCTAAAAAGTCAATCAAAATAAAGGTAATTATGTGTAATAATGGTAGTTTTACCTCATATGTTCCCTCTCATCTTACATATATAAACATCCGAATTGATACCCTCCTCCTTCACGTGCCGGTCTCTTCAAAACAGAAATTGCTTTCCGAACCGATGGTAACGTACGAACTTAAGTATCAATTTTTATGTAAAGTCCGACGCTTCCTACATAAATTTAATTAGGTTTCTGGAGGTGTCAAAGGAGATTTTACTCTTAAGATATGCAATAAAAATTAAAATTGGTTGGCTTTTTGGTATTAGTCTTTCTAGCTTGATAAAAATGTCTGTTCAAAGGGCTTCATCGATTTTTTGTATAACAGGGATATTTAAAATTAAGCAATATTTTACGTTTCTTTAAATCTTTTAAAACTTTTTTCAACAAAAAATATTTACAACATAAATACAAACTGAATTACATACTAGAATATTTTTAACGAACTCGGCCCACATGGCATAGTGCCATGAACGTAAACGTTATTTTCATTTGTGTGAACACAGAGCAATTTGTTTCATCAGCCGTTAAGGAAGTAAATCATTCAAAAATGTCGATGTGTATGTGGGGACCCCACGGACGTGAGGTTCCTAGGAAATGGTACAAATACATCATCTGAACATAGAGAGTAATATTTACGTCATTTATGTTCTTTCGCTGCCTCTGATGCTGCCCCGCCTCTGACTGAAGTACTAAGGGGTACTTCGGTAGGGCATGAGAGGTAGAGGAGCCAAATAAGTACCTTAGTAGCATCAGGGCTTTGCCTCTCTACTAAGGGATCCAAGTCAAGTCGACCCGAAAAGAAGACCAGGCTTTTCTTGCCATCGTGATAAAAAACGCCACATGGCTCCAATATTCAATAAACTTGATGGAACAAGAGCTTTAGGGATGACATGGTTCAGAGAACCAAAATTTGCCGTGAGAAGCACCCACAACTATTTGACATTAAAGTCCAACTAACAAGATCATTTTTAACTACATTGACTGTCATTGACATCACAAGGGTTTTGGTTTGGTTGATAAATCGGTGCTCCCAGGTGGATTCTATCTATCATTGTCAAGCCATGTGCCCAACTTGATGGTAAAGGGTAAAGTATTACATATACCTAGAAAACAGGCACATTATTACGATTTGGACTCATTGAACATCGCAGCGTTAAATAAAATCATGCAAACTGACATATGCATCACGCTAAATGGTTGAAGAATTTAACTAGTTGATCAACTTCTCATGATACTGAAGTTAGCCGACGTCTAATAATATTTGAAACTTTTTCCAACGATAAATTATAAAAAAAGTGTATAAAAATTAATTAAAAAGTACTTAGAGTTTTTATATTCCTACATGTGCATTTTTTTTGTAACTTTTTTGATTTGTTGAAAAAAAAAAGTATGTGCGTGTAACGTTTACGCGCGATTGAAGTAAAACTTCTTTGGCGTTGACGGCATATATCACTGAAATGATTAAATATTTAGTAACGATTTAGTAATGATTAAATATTTAGTATATTTTTAAAATATGACATATACTTATGACGTTACTTCCGTCAGAAAAAGCGTTACTTCCGTCAGAATAAATCTGAGTTACTCCCTAGTCGCGCCTAAAGAAGTTTTACTTCAAAAAGATACGAAAATTGTTAATTGTTTGTTAACTTCAGGGTCATATACGTTTCACACTGATCTTTTAATAGTATAAGTAATTAGTATTTTCATGGTATTGATTTTAGGTCGTGTTACCAGGCCATATAATCTTTATTAAAAAAAAGTATTATCGTGCATGGATCTGGTACTAAACACCAAACCAGAGTTGCGTTAAAAAAATATATCGAAATTGACACGAATTCGATAGTCGGTAATATAGGGAATAAAAATATCGACGATATATATCGATATTTATTTGGAAAAATATCGATATTTTTTGCCCATGCCTAAATGAGAATGACAAGTCAATCATACAATGACACTGGCTAACCGGTTAACCTTTCATATAATTCATGCTTTATTTTTTTAAGATAACAAATTGATAGGAGTTCTATCGGTTTAATATGCTTTAATTTTTTCATAATTTACTGCTTTGTAAATTTGCTGCTGTTCAATTTTTTTTAAAGCATTAATTTTTAGTCATAAAACTATATTGTTAATTGCTGCTAAAAGATTGATGGTAATTATTACATATTTATATATTCATTTCAATTTATAGACTAAAACTAACCGAACATAATTAAACTATAACTTAACTTAATTAGCCGTGATAGCTCAGTGTCCGGGCGCTCGCCTTTAATTCAATATACTCGAGCAACCTGAGTTCGATCCCCGGTGCTGGCACCAATGAAATCGTTAATTTTAAGTGCTGAATTATCACGTGCTCAGCGGTAAAGGAAAATAACTTCAGGAAACCTGCATATTTTCGAAATAATAAAATAACATATTTCGAAGATATGTGAAGTCTGCTAATCCGCAGTGGGGCCGCGTGGTGTGCGACTATGTCCTGATACCCTCTGTAAAGAGGAGGCCTTTGTCCAGCAATGGGACAAGTATAGGCTGATACTTTTACTTTACTTAACATAACCGGATTATAACTACAAACAAAATAAATACCAGTTTTTTCATTACTTACTATTAACATTCCATTTTTACAATTTATACAACAATTTAATATTAACTTCACATTTAATTAACAAAATATCAAAACATAAGATTTACAAAAAGTAAACACTGTAATTTTTGTATTTAAATATACCTCCATGTACATAATTATTTATGTATTGATAGGTCACTGTCTGGGGTCCTGCTTTTATTCATTCTTATTATGGCCCTGCCAGCAATGAAATTGTTAATCACAATTTTAAATGCTAACTTATCACAGCTGCTGAGTATCCATCATAACATGTCACTGCTCTTTAAAATGCAAATGCCTTTGAGAAAAAATTGTGAGGAAACCTGCATATTTAAAAGAAAATAACAAAAAAAAATATGTTAAGTCTGCCAACTTACAGTAGGTTCATGACTATTCCCTAATACCCTTTGCTTGATTTTACTTTGGATGTATTTCAAAGCTAAAACCGAAAATTTTGAATTAATATGGTTTTTATTACAGGTATGTTAACTATGTCTGGTGACTTAAAATTCGACATAATGGTGGTTCCGGTAGAAAAAGCTAAGGTAGGCAAATTATATGTTATCAATATTAATATATATTAATATATATATTATCAATATTATTAATATATTATAAAAAACTTTTATTATAACTGGTTCATGACATTGGTGTTGAAAATTTGGGTAAATCAATATTAATACAATATTTTTATATTTATAATGATTATTTTACCAAAGATCAGTAGCTCGAAATGTTTAAAAGTTTTGTTCTACAGTTTTATGAAAAACATTAACTTGAAGCAAGACATCCATTATTTGTTAAAATAAGTACAAAAGAATAACAGTAATTCATGTTACAATTTTGTTTTGATTTGGTCTGTTTAATCATTTCATGAGTGTACTTTTTTATATGTATATATATTTTTATAAAATTGTTAATTTTTAGGGGGTTCATGATTGTAAAGACATATTAATTGTTTCTTATTTGTTTTTTCAGGAGTATATGAAACATAATAATGACAAATTTGAGTCCATTGGCTACAATAACAGTGATAAATCTGGAAATGACTTTTGTAATAACAAATTAATTTATGCTGATTACACCCGGACTTTGCCCAATAATGCATTGGAGTATAGCGATATTTTAAGTCAAGATTATGTTGCTGGATTTCCACAAAAATTTTTGAGATTGGTGCAAGACATTGAAGCGAAACAAATGCTGTTTGCGGAAACTGAATACATGCTGAGGAAAATACCAATAGAGCAGACAGTAAATTTTGATTTAAAACTGATTGTACAGAATATTATGCATGTCAGTTCATCGATGCGGTTGAAGTTCTATAAAAGTGAGTTTCTTCTTTAAATGTGTATGAACTGAACACTCAAGAAGAATGTGGGAACTCTGTGTCTATGCACACACATTTTTGTTCACCACACTCAAGCAACCTGAAATCAAACTTGGTAGCTGGTTCAGTACTGGCAGTTCAGCTGATGCTAAGCGATAACAGTCACCAATTGACATTTGAAACACCCTTAGGGATGCAGAAGGTGGCACCTTATAAAAAGTGTGTCCCGTTTACTAGACTCACAAGGTGTAACGCAGTAGTTGAACACGTCCAATTCCGGCCTTCTGTGAGGTCATGGTACTTCCCCGGACGGACCTGCCCATTCGTGCAACAGTGAAGGCTGTTGGGTGACCCTACCTATAACTTACAGTGGAGGTTTTGAGAAAAGCGTGCTTTTGTCCAGAACCGTTTGTTTGTGATTGCTTGATACCTATATAGTATGTTTGCATATTACAGGCAACGTCATAGTGATGAGGGAAACCTCCCCGCTGGCAACACTGGGCTTCGTAGCTCAACTGCTGTGCGCCCACTCTGACGTGGTAATTGAGTCGTCGGCGCAGACAGCCGTGCTGTGCCACATCTTCACAGTCGCCTGCCACAACGCTGGGTAAGGACATAATGGCGTTAATACTATAAAAAAACAAAAAGATACATGTGTGTGTACTTATACTAATATATTATTCTTATATTATATCTATATTATTATTACGCTTGTAAGAAGTTATATTTCTTAACCGTAACCTAAAATAGCTAAAGATTTTATCGCACGTAAGAGTTTGTATTTCTTTAACGTAACAAAAAGATAACTAAAAATTTTATCCCATGTGCCGGTGCTCTTTGTTTGTGAAGAAGGGACATTAATTGCAATTGATAATGGCTTAATTAAATAACTTGGAATTATAGGTAAATGTACAGTTGTTATTGGTTGCCGTGAATTTGGCGTCGGTTTTTCGTGTCGATCATCGCAAATACTCATCATTGTTCAAAACGCGTCAATAGATGTATAATTTGATAATAAAAAATGCTAAGTACCAGATTTGCTCACTCACCACCTAATTAAAAAAAGTTTTGTATCCCTTTTTTGAACCATTGAGAGTCCCTAACTCACCGGACGAAATGCGTAAGAATAATACATTCCCTTGCAAGTTCAAGTATTATTTGCAAAAACAGAAATAAATGCATAGTCTTGCTGTTTTTACAGAAGACACATCATCATCACCGTTATTTCAGCCAGTTTGAGCCCACTGCTGAACATAGGCCTCCCCCACCCGTGCAAATGTGCGGTCGACTTCCCACACATTTGCACGGGTCGTCACTCCATATATGCCCGGTTCCTATATTCAACGAACGGCCGTTAGTTGTATAGCTTCGTAACTTTCATAACGACTTGTAGATGAAAGGCGCCCGGTTCCTATATTAACGAAACGAGGCGTTTTCCTTACGAGCCGTCGCATTACCTACAGAAAGTGAGTTACTAACGTTCCTTTATTCTGCAACTCGTTATGAAAGTTACGAAGCTATACAACTAACGGCCGTTCGTTGAATATAGGAACCGGGCACTAGTGGGGGGTCGTCCCACACTGCGATGGCCAGTACGAGGCTGCCACTCGAGAACCTTTCTTCCCCAGCGGTTATCGGTTCTACGAGCTATATGGCCGGCCCATCGCCACTTCAGCTTGCTAATCCTCTGAGCTATGTCGGTTACCGTGGTTCTACTGCGGATGTCTTCGTTACGAACTCTATCGCGCTGAGAAATACCGAGCGTAGCCCGCTCCATAGCTCACTGTGCGACTTTGAGCTTTCTCATACAATATACATAATGAATAGCTATTTGACGTCCCGATTGGCGTAGAAGGTAGTGAGGGCGTCTCTTGAGTTAGAGGGTGTCGGTTCGATCCCTACTAATATATAGAAATTATAAAACTAGCGGACCCAACAGGTAACATTTCGTAAAATCCGTTCTTAGCTGACGTCTACTCGGCGAAAGGAATATTCCTACCAAATTTCAAGTTTCTATCCCTTATGGTTCCAGAGATATCGTGATGAGTCAATTACCGGTGGTAATCTCTTATATATAGATTATGTTTAAGTATTAAAATTTGTAAAATTTGCAAGTGCAGAGATTAGCACAATAAAAACATTTAAATTTCTATGTTTAAGTATGTTTATCAGATACCACTCTACGGTCACTAGTGAAAGGAATATATATTGTTTTTGAATACGTGCTTAAGAATAGGCTTTGTGCTGTGTTGTGAAATCTTTTGCATTTTTCCAGATTGAACAATGTGAAACTAGCTTTGGTGGAAAACTCTCCGTCGGGCGGCAATGACGTCACAGAAATTCCAGGTACATTGAGCATTTGTGTTCGTAGAGAATAGTACTTCATCGTAGTTAATGTTTTAGCAGCCTCCCGTAGCAGCGTCCAGAACGAATATTTTTTAAATCTTTTGGAGTGTAGTTGCGGCTCTTTTCCTTAAAAAAGCCGCCTTCGGGTCCATTACGGTTTTGCCAATTTGAGAATTCTGCATTTTTTGTGTGAGAATTATCGAGCTGGTGGTTCACACGGTGTGAAGTCAAACGCTGCCCATAGACATTTGCTAGGAGTTGCAAGGCGAAACGCTGAAGTGTAACGCTTCCACTCCACGCCTTTGTTCTCTGTGTTCGTGGTACTCCCCCGAACGGAACTGCCCATTCGTGAAATAGTGAGGGCCATTGCGGACCATTGCGGGAAGTCGATGGATGCAGGTGGCTCAGGATCGTACTTCGTGGCAGTCTATGGGGGAGGCCTATGTTCAGCAGTGGACTCAAACAGGCTGAAATGATGATGATGATGATTGCGTGGCCCTACCACATTGTACTACTGATATCGAACTAATGTTTTTTAGACGAAGCACATACTTTGACATGATGTTAATAGAGCATTCCGTAATTAAAAAAATAATTAAAAAAAATAATAATAACATATGTAATGTTAACATAATTAAAAAAAAATAATATTTTATTTTGACAAAAATTTTATGTGGTTAGAAACACGCAGCAGCCTCGGCTGTTGCACGAATGGGCAGGCTCATCCGGGTAAGCACCACGACTTCACAGAAGACCGGCGTGAAGTGGAAGTATGAAAAATACTTTCGCGTATCGCGGTTGTCAACTTTTCACATAAAAAAAAATATCAATTCAAACATTGTTTGTTTATCCCGTTAACATTGGTCAAACTATTAAGCCTTGATAAGTGGTTTAGTAATTATGCGTTCAGCGAAAAGTTTTTGTGCTCGTCAATTGGTTATTGTATTGAGACTGTCAGGTAGAAATCTCTTAAGGTGTCCAAAATGTTTGAAAAAATTAAAAATATCGTTTGAAAAAGATCAAGTACGTACAAGATCTTACACAAGTACGTACCAGATTCAGATTTAAATCAAATTCTGCATATGCTCTGTTTATATGTCCGTCGTCTATAAAAAGTCATCCATCAGCCATCCTGTAGATCTATAAAGAAAATTAGGTTTCGACCTATAAAAGTTGGATTCTTTTCCATCCTATTTTGGGAGGATCGTCAGTCTTAAAAGAAGCAAGTAGAAATGCATTTTATAGGAGTGAGTACGAATGAAGATAGACCGAGAAATAGAATGAACGATGGCAAGCGAGCTAGCGGTTCACCTGATATTAAGTGATTACCGCCGCCCATAAACATCTGCAACACTTGTATGGGTTGTAGAGGCGTTGCCAAAAAGTTATCTTAAGAGTTATCCTTGGTAACCTCCCTGAAATGCAAGAGTATGCCTTCAGTATCAATGCTTCTGTGAGGCCGTAGTGTTTCTCCGGATGTTACCCATTCATGCGGCACTAGATGATGTAGTCCAGTTTGATGTGGTATTATAATTTAATATTAGGTCTTTAACAGCCGTGATAGCTCGTTGTCCGCTCGTTGTCGCTCGCTTTTAATTAAATATACTGGAGCAGTTTGAGTTCAATCCTCCGTGCCATCATCAATGTAATTGTTAATTTTAAGTTCTGAATTACATATTTCGAAGATATAGGAAGACCGTCAATCCGCAGTGGAGTCGCGTGGTGAACTGTACCTACACACTAACTATAGCTAAAGTAACTATAGATATTTAAACTCTTTTTTTATGTGGCAAATGGCATGGCCGTTCACATGATGTTAAGTGATAAACGCCACAACGACATTTGCATCACCCGTAGGGTTGCAGATGCGTTGGGCCCCGGCTACCTCACTCACCAGACGAAACGCAGAAGTGTAACAATTCTACTTAACGCATGCTAACCCGGACGGAACTGCCCATTCGTGCAACAGCGCACACCTGCGTGGCCCAACCACAGTTAGACATATAGGGTGTTATATATATCTGTTCACTATGTACTTACTGTTTTCACCATTTTGTATGTTCTTAACGCGTGTTTAATGTTTGAAAGATTTCATTTGTTATATTCCGTAGAACTGTTGTCCGGCTGTGTGGCGGTGGTGACCGGTAGCGCCGACGTCGACTCCGCCGTGGACGCCCTAATTGCTGCTCCCGATAAGGTGAGCTCGACTTGGTCAGGAAAGTTGACGATGTTGAAGGTGAACTAATCGGGGTCGATTTGACGACCCGAACGGCGCAGAGGGTAGTGTGCCAGACAGTGTGGGTTCTACTAGAAAAATATTGTGTGATGAAAATAGTGTAATTAAATTACCTAGTACCCACAGTACAAGCGTACAACTAGGCAAGTTTGAGACTAGAGAACGTCGTTTAAAAATGTGTCCTAAAAATTTATTTTTTTGCCGCGGTGACGTTCGGACTAGTCAATTCCCCCACGGCGTTTCTTCAATGACGGCGTGACGAGAAATCAAGACCCTGTTGAGTGTTTACTGTTTATATAACGTCTGACACCTATCGTCCGGTGACTGTGGCGTTCGTTTGGGGCACTTTATGTTTATGCGATGACGTGAAATTGTTAACCCTTGACGATGTTCAGAACTGAGTCGCACGAATGGGCAGGTCCGTCCGGACGAGAACCACGACCTCACAGAAGACCGGCGTGAAGTAGAAGTGTTGCTCTTCTACGTTTCGTCTGGCGCGCGAGGCAGCTGGGGCTCACATTAATAATTGGCAACACATCTGTTACGAGTACGACGAGCGTCTATTTGAATAAAGATATTTCGAATTTTCAATTTGGCGCCGCAAACGTCCATGGGCGGCGGTTATCAGTTAACATCAGGCGAACCTACAGCTCGCCTGCGCCCTTCTGACTTAAAAAAGAGATTTCGAATAATAGGATTATCTTAAATTGACCCCAATATCCCCAGCATAGCCCATCGCTAATAAACATATTCCGATGCCGTTCCAGGGCCCCTGGCGATTGGGGCGGGTTTCCGTGCAGGAGTGCATCGGCGAGCGGTTCCGTCGCGCGCTCTCTTGGAAGTCGGCGCTGGAGGGATCGAACCCGCAACTCGGCGCCGCCCGCACCGCCTACGCAGCGAACGGCAAACTTTTCAGCTACGAGCACCACGGGCGCGGGGTCAACGACCTTGTCGCGGTCGACGAGTACCGGACGGTGAGGGAGCTGCTGTCTCTCTCTAACGCGTGCGCCCCGCTCGCCCTCTCGCTCTGGTGCGGCGGCGTGGCGGAGGCGAACGAGATAGCCCACAACTCCTCCGCGGACCTGGTCTGGATTAATGGGTACGGTGCGTTCGCTGGACCGCCCGCCGCCTCCCAGGGCTTCTATTCAATCCTCGATGTGGCGTTCGCCGGTATAGGTACGTGCAGGCTGAAATTTGTATTATCTTGTACTGTTTTTAGATTTCCGTACCCAAACGGGACCCTATTACTAAGGAATCGCTCTCCATCTGTCTATCTGTCAGTCCGTCTGTCACCAGGCTTAATGTCATGAACCGTGACAGTTGGACAGTTGAAATTTTCACAGACGATGTATTTCTGTTGTCGCTACAACAACAAATAACGGTTACCATCGTTTCTAGTTACTAAAATTCATTCAACAAGTCTAATGATATGTTCCATGTTACGTTCCAATTTCTAGGTGTGCCCGCCACCGCCGTGCAAACACTGTCGAAAAGCGGGGCCTGGATGAAACTGACTGCGGACAAGAGACGCGAGCTGCTGTATGCCGCCTGGGAACAGTTCGGAATAGCTTCGGTCAGTTTGGACACCGAATTTGGCGCGGATAGCTTCGCTTCGGTGGAGGGGCCGTTCCTCTGCATCGGCATCCGGAGGCCAGCGGGGCTGGTGGCCTGCCTCGGGCGGGATTCCAGTCGGGAGGCCTTGGCCGCCTCGCTGGCCGGCAACGCGGTGCTGTTTGGCGACGCCGCTTGGCAGAAGCCGATCCACGAGGCGATGGCGGCGGCCGGCGCTCCCGTGGCCACCTTCCGCCCCCTCGAGGGCGACCGCAGTGTCCCGTCGGCGCTCTCCAGCTGCAGGACGAAGGTGGTCTGGACGAGCTTCGGCACGGTGTTCGCCAATTGAGAGGCAGCGTCGCCGCACGGGAAGGGACGGGGTGTCTTCATAGTCTTGTTAACCTTGTGAAGTGGCGGGTACTGACTTGACTACTGCAGGTATGAGACCACACGGGAAGCACCGGCTTTCAAATAAAAAAAGAATCATCAAAAACGGTTTACTCAGTCGAAAGATCTGAGGTAACAAATATGAAAAACAATACAGTCCAGAAAAAATAACAGGCAAACTTTTTAAAACTTTTTATAATTGAAATTTCTATATCAGTCTAGTCAGGCAGTCGTCAATTTAATGTTAGTTCAAGTAAATTATTATTCTCTACATTAAAACGAGTCGAGAGGGGTATAAAAAAGTACGCCCATTTGACATATGCCGAAATGTAAATTTATGAACAAATGTTTTTTTAACATTTTTTATTCAAAAATAATATTTGATCTCTTTCTGTATCTAGCTGTAAATATAAATCTGTGAAACATGAGTGATGCAAATTGCGACACTGCATTTTAGGCGGACTGGGTTTAGTCACTGAGTACATTGCACAACTATAAATGATTTTATCTATGATAATTATGGTTAACTGTAGTGTTATTATTTACACGTGTTATCAATCGAGTGATCTTTTTTTTTAGCATTTTTAACCCTTCGGTGATACGTGGTGACGCTTAAGACTACCCTCCGCGTGTATTTATTTTTTCGTCAAACGCGCGGTTTCCAAACCAAAAATTGGCGCGTGAGGACTTTGCCTAGCAGCGACGAGTCAAGGTCACGCTACATGCCGTTTTTTGGTTTAGAAATCGCGCGTTTGACGAAGAAATAATTACACGTGATATCTTATTGTACACCACGTCTACCCCCTTGTGATATTTCGTGATTTTTGCCAAAGCCCCCCCCCCCCCCCCCCCCCCACCCTTTCGAGCGTCATGTGATTAATGGACGGCCCCCCAACAGAAACTGCTTAATTATAACTTTATTAGTTTCAATGGATAATGGAAGTTGGTTCCAATGCTTGCATGAATTTTATTTCACACACTTAAATGACTTTAATCATCACAACTGTAATGTTTCATGTAGAAAGTGATCTTTGAAATGTTTCATGTTAAGTCCAAACCTATCCGATAAATAACAAATTACATAAACAAATTGAATTTGTTTATTTAATTTGTTATTGATCAAAAATGTGATCTTATATTTTGTGATTTTCATGTTATTTAAGCAATAGATATAATTTGTACCTCATTTTATTACAAATAATATTGCCATGAATTTTGTGAAAAAAAGAACATATATCTTGTTGATTAATTCTTAACAATTCCTAGGAAATGTAGATTGTGTCTAAATATTTTTGTATTAAATGTACAATGTTTTGTTATAAGTACTATAAATATTTTAGTTTAATAATATTGCCATTCCAATTTGAGATACACACTTGATCAAAATGTTTTTATTAGGCGTTCTGCCTGAAAAACTCGTGTTTTATGTTTAATGCGTTTTTTATTTGTTTTATGATTTTCTGTGCATTTCTAGTAAGGGAAATCTTTCATATTAATAATGTTTAAAGCTTTTAGAAAAAATAGGAAAAGATTGTCGCCGCTGTGGGAATCGAACCCACGTCTTCGGCATTCGCGGCCTGATGCTGTAGCCACTAAGCTAAACGGCGGATTGCCACTCCGACGAAAATTTACTGAATACTATTGTTTTGTAAACGGTGGACTCATCTGTTTATGTCCATATTTTAGCATGTATGAGACCTGTCTCGCCCTCGGGCTCTATTGTTCATGAATATAAATTTTTATTTTTGTATGTGTATTTTTTTTTATAAAAATATATTTTATTACGTTTTTAAACATGGTTATGTTTTATTTCAACATGTCTATGCGATATGAAAATAGTGAAATTTTGCTTTGAGGTTACTGGTTTTTTTAATGTGAAAAGTTGCCAAGCGAGCAGACGGTTCACCTAATGTTAAGTGAATACCGCTGCCCATGGACATCTGCAACACCCCAGGGTTACAGATGCGTTGACAACCTTTTGAAAATTGGGCTCCGGCCACCTCACTCACCAGACGAAACGCGAGAGTATTTCTCATACTTCCAGTTTACGGCCGGACTTCTGTGAGGTCGTGGTACTTACCCGGTAGTGCCTGGCAAATTTCATTCATATTATATTAACATTATCTGATATTGTGAGCTAAATATATTGATATTTTTTAACTGTGGTAGGTAGGTGTTTTAAATTAACAGTAGTGACATGCCAAAAATTTATCGTGAAAAAACATCTTATTCCGACGGGAAAGTATATTTTATTATCTTCAGAAAAATTATATGATTTCGAGCTTGTTTCACGTGGAAGGAAAGCAATGAATGTATCGACCTTTTTATGTTTGGTAGTAGTTTTGATTTGGTAAACTTGATACCGAAAAAACATCTCATTGCTACGGGAAACGAATTTTTTATCATAATAACAAAAAATCTTGATTTTGTCCTTTCACGGTGAAAGGAAGCAATGTCTTGACAGGACTTTTATTATATAAGGTGATTTACTTTTTAACCATAATAGAGGCATAGGCTACTTTTAACCCAAAAAACTTATTCCTGGGGAAAACCGTACATTATTAGCATTTCAAAATTAATTATCTACTAATCTACTATGTTTAATAATACTACTGTTTTATTGAATATGAAATACTCACATATTTCATAGTCAACAGACACGTTGGGTCCTCGCTGAGTTAGTCAAGTAACTTAGACACAAGATGGCGCTTTATCATTTCTAAAACGCGGTAACGTTGTGTTTTCCGGATTACACTTAACAACTGTGATATAAAATTTTTTTTTTCTTTTCAGAATTCATTCCTCAAAAATAAGAGACGTATAGATAGAATCTGTAATTCTGTATGCTGTAGGGAATCGGACATCGGTACCTATATGTATATATTTGCTTTGTTTTACGGATTGATCTACAGTACGGATGTTCAGATAGACCGATACCTCGAAGGTATTGTTCTACATATTATGTATCTACGAATAAAAATAAATTTGAAATAAGATAATACAGACGAACATTTGTATTGTAGATAATTTTATTTTTCCACCACATGTGGTTAGCATAATGTTTTCTTGTTTTTGATAAGGAAGCCTATGAAATTACGAGTAGGTATTTTAGTTTATTGTTGTTATAAGCAACCACCATAATAACTCGATTTTAATTTAAAAATACTTTTTGTTCTTGTAACATTGCTGAACTTCTATTTAACTCTTGAGTTGGTATTGCTTCAAAAGTCTCTATTCTAAACTTTTGATTGGCAGCCCGCTGGTACTAGTGTTAGTGTCACTAATAAACCATGTTGAGTTCAGAAATTGAAAAGAAACTGTCATTTCGGTCAGTCTGATTCGATTTGACCCAGAATCATAAAATTGATTCGACGCTAAAAGTACTTGGTATCGAAAAAAAAAAGAATGGAGTATTTACTCATGTTTACTTGTATCGGAATATCCCTAATCTAGAGTTTCATAACACATTTTTACACAACGTTTTTTAGTCCCAAACTAAGCAATTTACGTACAATGGATGCTAGATAACTCATAAACATACTTTTCTGGGGTGAATAAATACACATTATAAATATTTAAACATCCAGAGTCTAGAAAAATACAAAGTTCATACAATATTTTTACAGTAGTGGGGATCGAACTCAAACATTCTGACGCAATAGGCAGGGTCACTACCCATTAGGCCAATCGGGTCGTCAAAATATATTCTATATCACGGAAAAGCAAAGTAAGTCGAGTCGAGCTTCAGGTTGTTTTGAAAGCCACTGAAACACGTACTGGCATTTATCCCTTGACTGGCTATAAGAGTTAAAAACCACAGGTTCGTTGTATTCTGACTAATGGACAATAAATGTAGTTTTTGCAGTGCCTTGAAATGGAAAGTTGTGACTGCAGGCGTGTACTGCTCCAATTGGAAAGTTTCCTTCTTTTACTTGGTGAGCCAGAAGAGCATTTAAAAACTCTTTTTTTATATCACATTGATGAGCATGGCGCTTTCTATATGATCCGGAAATACAACTCATGCTTCCAAATGATTTCATTTGGTGTTAATCGAGCCAATTTTATTTATTTAAGTATTAGTACTTGCATGTAGCTGATGGATGTTAGTTTACTGGTTCCTCATTCCATGTAAGATGGCGCTATGCTACATTATTCGAATTATAAATTACCTCACCGACCAACGTTTAACGAAATATAAACACGATTTTACACGAACAAAGCCGCGATTCACACAATCTCGGTCGCCAATTTTAAACGAAAAGTAAAATTGTCTTCATTTTCTTTTTCTGCTTACAAATCGTATGATGATAGTATTAAAAATTACTTTTTTTCTTATACAATTTAAAAATCTTCTTCCAAATTGTATTTTCTCATTAATCTCTTTTCTAATTAGCGTACTGCGTCTACTTTGTTATTTATTTTAAAGTTCGCAGCGCACAGGTGTTCGGACACGCGTTTACCTGGTGCGCAAAACTAACGCAGCGGCCATTGCTATCGAGATAGCGCTATTGCTTCGCGACAATAACAAGCCAACTTGTGCCGCGTGTAAATCGCTCTAAAGGTACACTCGCCCCCATATATTTTCGCTCGTAGCTTTTTATCACTACATTGATAGTAGGTATATAAAAATACAAAGTCGTCCCGCTGTCTAAAACTACGAAACGGATCTTGATGCGGTTTTTTTACTAGATTGAGTGATTCAAGAGGAAGGTGAATATGTATAAAACTATGTACCCGTGCAAAGCCGGGGCGGCTCGCTCGTTTCGTGAACGTGTTTTTTTAACCGACTTCAAAAGAGGAAAGTTTCTCAATTTGATTGGTTTTTTTTTATGTTTGTTACCTCATAACTTTCGACTGGGTAAACGCATATTGATAATTCTTTATTTATTTGAAAGCTGGTGCTTCCTATGTGGTCCCACATATTTCATTGGTATTTGATCCTGGGCTCCGGAGATACTT